ATACCTATCTCTAAGGCTGATCTGAGCTAAGTCATGGAATGTGCTTAAAATAGTTAGTGGCACATAACAAGGCTCAGTGAATGTTACTACTGTTATTTAAGATGTACTTTAGGAAACTAGTGGGTGTAAATGACATTTAAAAGTGTAAGTCTGTCTTACAGTGACTCTGCGATATGTTAGTCAATTTGCTAATATGGGTGATAGTTCTCAGTAGCCTCTTGTTTTGTTTCCAGGCAAGTAGACCCATACAAGGACACCAATTTTTTTGAACTGGTTACTAAAGAATGATGCCAACTTTCTTTTTCATTTGTGACCTTGCCTAAATCCAAAATGCTGAATGAAAAAGTATAGATAAGTAAAGGCACCTCAGCTTCATTGCCTTTTAAGAGTTATAGAGAAAATAATGTCAAGAAAATGTCACCATCAGACAGGTAGACACCATCTGGGAGAAGGCTGGAAATGACCCTGCACCTGGATTCAGGAAACCTGGGCTCTAGTTTACATTCAGTCTTGGTCTTGCCTTGATCTAGTCAATCTAGTCTTAACTTCCTGTGTGACCTGGGCAGGCACTTCATTCCCTAGGCCACTGAGGGGGGGTTGAATAGGGTGATGCTAGATTTCCCTCAGGATCAGATTCTATGACAATGAAGACTTAGGAGAAGTCAGGGAAGCAGAATGACCTGGACATCCCCAGGAAGTGTTAGTCATGGGACAAGTTTCACTTTAGCGGCAACTTGATAGGAAAATCGGGATACTTGTACTGTGTCCTTGGCACCTAGCCAAACACCTCATTTATTCTATCAGTTCAAGCCAACTGGTTTGCCTGAGAAAGGTACATTCCTTGGCTCTGGGTTATTTTCACCCTTGAAGAAGCTGGCTTGTGCTGTACATCATGCTTCTTTAGTCAAACGCGGACAGCAAGTAAATCACCAAAAACATTTTCAAAAGCCTTTGTGAAACAGGATGAAGTTAATAACAAGTACCAGATTGGGAGAAAGAAATAGAAATTGTTTCATCTTTGTCCCTTCCCTCTCTTTTAAATTGATGGGTTAAGCTAGCATTTTCCAACAATCAAAGCATCGCAGGAGCACAGTTAGCATTTGCTTTAGATATGGAGCTGCTGCCTAACATGGCTCCCTACTATGTCTTGCTTGGGTATATATATAATGCTTCTCATACTTGCTAATAGTATTTTAACTTTCATGAAGAGAGATGACAGCCCCAAGCAGACTGGAAAGAAATGCCATTTTTCCTCCAAGCCTTTCTGCTTGGGTGTGACTAATTTCTTCACCAGCTGAAGTAGGACTTGAATGAGGGCTCTAGGAACAATTCTAACTTTCATGAGTTACTCTTTCATCGTGATCTCCAGCTATGGCCCTCTTAAGAACCCAGTCTTTGTCATTCTCCACAAACTGTATAACAGGCAAGGTTATAGCATTTCTATGACAATGTTCTCGTAGTTGGCATTTGGGGTGGGAAAGAGAACAGTGACGCGTATTTTCCCAGAGGTCCCAAACACCCAGAAACATTCATCTGCCGAGCAAGAGAGATTCAATAAATTCCTAAAAATTCTACTTTCTCTTAAGTTTTAAGAGAAAACTTAGGGGAAATGAATACATAATGTTTCTACATTATATAAGAATGTTTATATAAGAATGTTTCTATATTAATTTGTAACATTCACTGGATGTGGAGTAGAGACACTAAAAGAATGCCCCTTATGGAAGTTTACTTTAAATACCTTGGTTATAGGAAGGAACAGATAGTCTCAAGAAGAAAAAATGATGATCTCCACATTTTAAAATCAGGTTTCATGCCCCACAGAGGTAAATATATTCACTCATCTGGTTAAGGCCCGTTGGTAGGTTGTATTTTATTAGAAACAGTGAAACTGTATAACTAGAATTATAGTTTCGAAACATTTCTTAAAGATCACTTATTTATTTGCTTGCTAAGTGCGTTCTCTTCAATAAGCAGTCTCCCCCTACACCTTTCTCTTCTTTTTTAAGCTAGACTTATATAGGTGCCTATTCCTATGTTTCTATGAAAAGGCATCTCATTATTTTTCACTTGTACCAGGATTCTTGTTGTTAGGTACCCTAGAGTTGGTTCTGATTCAGTGGTCCTACGCACAACAGAATGAAACACTGCCCAATCCTGCATCATTCTCACAACTGTTGCTCTGCTTCAGCCCTTTGTTGCAGCCACTGTGTCAATTCATCTCATTGAGGGTCTTCTAAAGTTTTGCTGACCCTTTACTTTATCAAGCATGATGTTCCTGACACACGTCCAAAGTGTATGGGATGAAGTCTTGCCATCTTTGCTTCTAAGAAGCATACTGGCTCTGCATCTTCCAAGATAGATATGTTCATTCTTCTGGAAGTCCATGGTATATTTAATATTCTTCACCAACACCACATTTCAAAGGCATCAGTTCTTCTTCAGTCTTGCTTACAGTTATACTCACTGTGCAGCTTTCACATGTATATGAAGCAACTGCAAATACCAAGGTTTGTTTCAGGCACACCTTAAGTCTTTTTAACATCTTTGATTTTTAACACTTTAAGAGGTCTTTTGCAGCAGATCTGCCCAATGCAGTATGTCCTTTGATTTCTTGACTGCTGCTTCCATGGGGCTGACTGTGCACCCCAGTAAAATGAATTCTTTACAACTTCAATCTTTTCTTCATTTATCATGATATTGCTTATTGGTCCAAACGTGAGGATTACTGCTTTCTTTACACTGAGGAGTAATCCATACTGAAGGCTATAGTCTTTGATCTTTATCAGTAAGTACTTTTAAGTCCTCTTCACTTTCAGCCAGCAAGGTTGTGTCATCTGCATTATCACAGTTCGTTAATGAGTCTTCTTTCAATCCTAGTGCTGTGTTCTTCTTATCTAGTCCAGCTTCTGCGATTATCTGCTCAGCATACAGATTGAATTAAGTATGGTGAAAGGATACAACCCTGACACACATCTTTGCTGATTTTAAACCAGGCAGTATCCTCTTGCTATATTTGAAAAAATGCCTCTTGGTCTATGTACAGATTCCTCATGAGCACAATGAAGTGTTCTGGAATTCCCATTCTTCCAATGTTATCCAGAACTTGTTATGATCCACACAGTCAAATATATTTCTATAGTCTATAAAACACAAGTAAATACTTTTCTGGTATTCTGTGCTTTCAGCCAAGATCCATATGACATTAGCAATGATATCCTTCATTCCATGTCCTCTTCTGAGTCCAGACTGAATTACTGGCAGTTCCTTGTGGTTGTACTACTGCAACTGTTTTTGAATTATCTTCAGCAGAATTTTTCTTGTGTGACATTAATGATACTGTTTGATGATTTCCTCATTCTGTTGGATCACCTTTCTTTGGAATAGGCACAAATATGGATCTCTTCCAGTTGGTTGGCCAGGTAACTGTCTTCCAAATTTCTTGGCATAGACGAGTGAGCACTTCCAGCATTGCATCTATTTTTTGAATATCTCAACTGGTATTCTGTCAATTCCTGGGGCCTTGTTTTTTTACCAATGCCTTCAGTATAGCCTAGACTTCTTCCTTCAATATTGGTTCTTTACCATATGCTATCTCCTTAAATGATTGAAAGTCAACCAATTCTTTTTTATAGAGTGACTCTATGTATTCCTTCCATTTTCTTTTGTTGCTTCCTGCATAGCTCAACATTTGGCCCATCAAATACTTCAATACTGCCACTCAAGGTTTAAAATTTTTCTTCCATTCTTTTAGCTTGAGAAATGCCAAGCATGTTCTTCCCTTTTGATCTTCTAACTCCAGGTCTTGGCACATTTTATTATAATATTTTACTTTGTTTCTTGAGTTGCCCTTCAAATTCTTTTTTACATGTGTTCTTAGCTTATATTTACATTTATAAAAACCTTTTCTGGCAGATTTCCACCACAAAATTCTTGTGGCATTACAGAAACTTACATACTAATTTAAAAAAACTTCAAAGAGAAGAGTGACATTTTAGAAACTTGTGATTTGAGGACAGCAGTGGAATATGTACTGCAATAAGTATTGTGTACTTTTCTGTTTTTTCTTACCCAAAATTCTCCTGTGCTAAATTACTCTAATACTAATGGGAAATACTACTTAGGGTAAAAGCAAGATTTCTGCAGACTTCTATACTTGGAATAATCTGGTTGTCACCATTCATTTTGACAAGGAGAGCTGTGATTTAATTATCAAGGCTTCATCACAGAGAGGAATATATGAGTTACTGTGTACTTGATAAGTCAGTAATATCCAAGTATTCACCTACTCAGAAGTTACTGCTAAAAATGCCAGAGAAATAATTATTAAATTCAAATGAAAACCAGTGAGATTTGAACTTAAATTCTCTGTTGCAGGCACTTGTTTTTTTTTGCTGGGAGCAGAAAGGTGAAGCAATGGGATTGTTTTGTCCCCACTGCCCCCAAATCTGAGGTTTCAGGAAGGTCTCTGTACATCTCTGCTCACTGTGCGTGCTAAGAAATATCAGGTCACAGGGATGTGCATTTCATAATCTCAGCTAGAAATTGTTACGTGTCAGCCTGACTTAATTCCAGTTAAAACTGGAGGGAGTTTCTGGACACACAAGAAGGATTGTGCAACATTTCACTTGAAAGCAGAGGAGAGTAAACCCACAGGTCTGCTTCGCTGGAACCCAAAACTCAGGAATGAATACTTTCCTATACAAGGGGCATTTTCATTTTCATTAGGAATTTAAATGGATGAAAAATCTTCTTGTTACTATTTCTCTGACATCAGGTTATGTGAAAAGCAGCCTATACAAGAAGACTAAGTACACTTATCTTTCAAAGGAGTAGCTAATATGATTTAGCTACCTTTAGGAACAAGACAAAGATCTGAAATAATAAAGTTACCCATCAGTCAATATTGTGCCATCTGAATTAAGGTGGATTCCTGACCACCACTCCCTCTTCAATCTAATAGTAAAATATGGTTTTCACTTGAAAATAAAAAGTGGTACCTTTTCTCCATAGCCTCTATCTTTGGTCATCATCTCTCTGAGGGTCTGTAGCACCTTAATGCAGAGCTTCTCTTCATTTTCTTCTAGCAGCTGTTTGGTATGCTTTATTAACCTGAGTGGGGGCAAAACCATGGATTACGTTCCTGAAACTGTCTTTACATTTTAATTCATAAGCTACTTATGGTAGCTTGTGAATACAGTTAATGAACAAATATTTATTAAGGGTTTCCAGGTTAAACATTCTTTAGGGCATTCATGGAACTGAAGCCAATCTGTTTGTGACTGTGTATCAACAGTGACACCTGCTGGTCAATAGCAGCAAACATGCCTCCTGGGCAGGAGTCTGCCACATACAAAGGAGAGGTTATATGGAGAGGAAGGAGACAGAGGGCCACTCAAATCTTCTCATTTATAAAGTGCAGCTATTTATCCACTGTGGATTGTGGGAAAATGGCTAAAATCTGTCAGCATTATAAAAATTCTCCTGAGGATGACGGTTGGGGCAAAAAAGCATTGCTCCCTTATCCAGTCTTGTGCTTAGAAGAGTCCAGAAAATAAAGACACTCACTGGCAGAGATAAACAAACAACCTTAGGCCAAAATTTCTGGTAAAATGTGAAAACTTTTTTGGAATATGCCCCAGGGTATAAACTAGGAAACTACAAAATTGTTAGGAAAAGATTGTGAGGTTCTTGTAGGTTCAAGCTCTTTGAGGGCAGATCAACAGATTTTGTGTGTGTGTATCATAGCACATGGTGGCTGTGCTGCAGAAACTTGTCGAGTGGAAATTGAATGGCTGTGAATGCCGTGAAAAAGATATTCTCAGCCCAAACAGCCTCAGTAAGTAGGATTTCATCTACAAACTTACGCTGGGAAGGTCAGAACAGGATTCTAGCACGTGCTGCATGCTCATCAAAGTTAAAAACCAGGACACTGTCCTTGTTCAGGAACAAATGCTTGGTCTGGTCATCAGGGTTCTGACAACTGCACCACCCACAGGGAGAAGCTGCTTACTTGCAAATGAAGCCCCCACTTTCACATTTTCTTCTGGCATCTGTGTTCTCTGGAAACAGCAGCTCAGGGCGATGGAGAACATCCACAAGCACAGACAGCTCTGCCTGCACAAGGGGCCTAAGCCGGTCCTCCAGCGCTGAGACGATATCCTGGAATAGAAGCAAAGCCTCGGTGAACAGTCCCAGCTGGAGGCAGAGCAACAGGAGGCAAGATCGCTTATTCTGACCTACAACAACACACACAGGCTAGACTAGGTTAGATTAACTAGTGTCGCTGACATTTATTCAAATTATTAGATGTCACCCAATGGTTACCTGAAGCATTAGCTCTGATGCAAAAAACAAAGTTAAAAAAAAAAATAGTCAACATTCCCACCACCCCTTTTTTTGAGATAGTCTTATGCTACTTGAGGGATCATTCCACATGTTTCAAAATATGAGGCAAAAAATATATTTAACACTATGGAAAGACGTCTATGGCATGAGTGTCAAAATGGTCAAATAATAGCATGGACCATACGATGCTAGTTTTTAGAAGTAACATCAGTATCTAAAGGATATATAGCAAATACTACTGAAACATTGTGGCTCGTTATTGCTGGGTGGTGGGATTACAGATGATGCTAAGTATCTTTTATACATTAATACTTGCCAGTATCGTCCAATTATTTTATAATGAACATGAATTATTCATAGAATAAAAAGTCATATAAAAGTGAGAACACGAATGAATGAACATGCTATATCAACATGCTAAATACATGTACCCTGATAGCATGATGGTCTTCAAATGCAAAACACATAGCTGTAGGAAAGGAAAACAGAGAGAAGTTGAAAGAGCAGCAAAACCAACACAACAAACACCATATAAAGGCAAATGGCAGAAAACAGATGAGAAAATATCTTCAAAAGATGCTAAAGCCAGCTCTATGGCTTGGTGACTCAGAACCTAACTCAAGGCATGTTGCCTTAGACAGGGGTAGAACCCAGCACACTGGATAATACAGGAGGGCCTGGTCAACCAAGGAGATTTGCATGGAGAAGGCTCCTTAAATCACATTCACCTCAATGGGAGACCCAAATTTCATAGGTAATTGTCAATAAGGAATTGCTTGATCTTTTATTTGGAAAGTCAAACTGAAACATCGGAAGATAATTTTACTCTAATACTGAACAAATCTGGGGTGATAAATATAATCACATATTAATGCTTATGAGGAATAAAGAATAAATTAAATGGTGATTTTTTTTTTCTTTTTTGTAGGGGTGGCAACTATGCACAGGACTGTAGATAGTACATTGCAATATCCCTTAATTCATATTTGATGCTCACAGTGCTAATTTTTGTAAAGTCTTCTGAGGGGTCATCAGTTTCCTCTTTGGAAGCATCCAATTCTCTCCTTTTTGGTCCTTACTGGTCCTACCTCTAGTGGATCCTTATTTGTCAATAGCATTTGAATCAAGGAGTTAAGTAGTTCTTCAACATCACATTAGTATATTTCACAAAATCTTGCATCTTTTGCAAGATCTGAGCTTGACATTGCAATTGATTTGCACTGTATTGTCAAATGTATAACATTCGGCAATCAGAGGGGGGCCGACAGACAGAGAAGGCAAAGCGATGGGCAGGGAAAGATGCTGTGTTAAGTGAGGGAGTGTCTGCATGGGGATTAATTATATAAGTGATAGGTTTGTGAGAGAATGTGCTAACATTATGACAACTGTTGTTCTTCCAGGCAATCTTGTAACTACAGGGACTGAGAAAATAAACAACTGGATAATGAAGACCCCAGTAAACCATTGGCCAAGTCTTCATAATAAGCATTACCAAGCTATGCATTTTATTTCACTCCTCAAGAATATGCATAAAAATTCTAAGAAGAGCCCAAGAAACTGGTGTGTTTGGCTGCAGGTTTTAATTTAGTTTGAGGGGGCAAGAAAATACTGTGTTCATAGAGTTACTAGTCTACAATATCCCTCCCCTTTCTGAAAATACAGTGGGGGTAAGGAATTGCTCCATTAGAAACCAACTGACCTTAGTTTAAGAACTGCTTCTGTCACAGTGAAAGCTGAAACTCATAACTCGTTCTGCAAAGCCCCATCAACCTCCTCAGTCCCAGGGGTTCTAGCCACACTAACCTTCTTTTGGTCTTTGAACATGCTATATCCTCTCCAGTATTACGGCCTTTCCAAATGCTGTTTCCCTCCCATTCTTTCCTTTGTTGCTGTTAGCTGCCGTAGAGTCAGGCCCCAACTCATGGTGAACCCATGCACAATGGATTGAACTGCTATGATCCATCGGGCTTTTACTGGCTGACTTTTCTGTCTTAGTCTGGAAGCTCTCATGAAACTTGGTCAGCATCACAGCAACATATAAGCCTCCACTGACAGATAATACATTGGCAGGGAATCCAACTCAGGTCTTGCATGGAAGGCAAGAATTCTACCAATGCCCTTCTTTTCATGGTTCAAATGTAACTTCCTCAGTGGGGTCTTCCTTGACCACTTTCCAAACCCAAGGCAACATTAGGTCCCTTATCAGAGTATCACACAGCACTATGCTCTTCTCTTCTGCAGCATTTGTCTCTCTTGTCTCTTATAGGTGTGATTCAGTAATTAATACCTGTCTTCCCTCTAAGAGTTGAGATTCCATGAAGCCAGAGAACATTTCTGTCTCTGCTCATCAATATATCCTCACTGTCTAGCACAGGGCTGAGGAGTGCATTAATGAACTCATTTGTCTTTACGTAAGTTATACAACCTCAGAAAGACTTGGTTACTACACCTAATAGTAATTATTATTATAGTCATAGTAGTTACAACAAGAATAGTAATAATAATTATAATAGCAGTCCTTACTTATTGACTACTTACTACATGACAGGCACTGATCTGTGTTACATGTATTGTACTTTCCACAGAAGACCACCACAATAGATCCTATCTTGAATATTCTTCTTGCACTGTGACACTGACATTCCTCCCACTGAATAGTGGCCTCTATCTCCTCACCTTGAACCTGAGTGGACTTTTGTGACTGCCCTGATCAAAAGAGTATAGCGGAAGATGATCTGTGATCTCTGATGCTAGGTCACAAAAGGCTTTCATTTTGTCTCTCTCCATGGACCCAGCTATCATGTTGTGAGGAAGCCCAGGCCACATGAGGAAGTTTCATTTAACAACCCCAGCAACTGACATACAGCATCAATTGCCAGACTTGATAGTGAGTAATGTTCCAAGATGAGTCCAACTCCAGCTACCATCTGACTGTAACTACATAAGAGAACCAGAGCAAGAAACACCTCACTAAGTCAGTCAACCTCCAGAAGAGGAAATGATAATACAGTAATCTTTGCTCATTTAAATTATTACGTTTTAGGGTATTTGTTACACAGACATAGATAACTGAAACTCTCTTAATCCACACATCAACTCCATGAGGAGTTTAATGTTTATCCTGTTTCACAAATTAGGAAAATGAAGCACAGAGGAGTTAAGTAACTTCCTCAGGGATACACCTTTTTTAAGAAGTGGAGCCAGGATTTGAACTCAGGTTGTGTGGCCTGAGACCACATTCTTTATCATTGTTTTAGGCTCATCCTAAAAACTTGTGATTCTCAAACTGTGGTCCAGGTACCAAGAATAACTTGGGGGTGCTTGTTTAAAAAAAGATGGTAATGTTAAGGTATATGTTTAAGTGTTTCACATTCTTCTAATACTTGTCACTCTCCTCTTTAACAAAGGGAGAGCAGATTACCTGGTAGACACTAAGAAAAAAAGAATACAGTCTAACCAGGATTTAATAACACTTTCTTCCCATTTGGCTCATTCTGATCCAAATCTCTTCTCTCAAGCATCATTATACTTGTCCTGATTCAGGAGGCTAAATATCCTAATATGAAGAAAAAATGGATCCCTCTGCCCTTATTCTGAGTAGCCTCTTCTAATCTTTACATACTTCTTTTTAATAAGAGCAGACTCCCATTCTTCATAAAGAAATATTAAATCTATGAATAACCATGTCTTTGTCAGGAGACTTCCTCTTCCTAAGCAGCTTCACACTCCTGGGCTTATGTGTATTATCATTTTTGACTCTCCATTCACCACACTAACATCTCCCTATGCAATCTTGGATTTTCTCCAGTTCAAGGAAACACTGCTGTGTCTGGGAACCACCTGAAGCCAGGTAAGTGCCACCTCATTCAGAACCAGGTATTACCTGCAATCTCTCAATGATATTCCGGTAGTCTCTGGAAGCAGCCAGGACAGAGTCTCTGCGAGCAGCATTGCGGGCTGACAACCGCCAGTTCATGGCTGTTTTCTGGACAATGTTATGGGATTTCAGAAAGAGGTTGTTGACTTGGCTATCCAGGTCCACAGGGATGGCAATGGCTCGGCTTTTAGCTGCACAGAAGAAAGATGACTGATGAGCTGACAATCTGTGTGAGAATGCCTTAGAGATTTGATGTGTCATGTTAGCTGCTGTCAAGCAGTCCTGACTCATGGTGACCCCACGTACAACGGGACCAGACTGCTGTGATCCATAGGGTCTTCACTGGTTGATTTCAGGAAGCAGATCACCAGGCTTTTCTTCTTACTCCATCTTAGTCCAGGAACTGTGCTGAAACCTGTTCAGCATCATAGTAGCATGCAAGTCTCCGCTGAAAAATCAGTGGGGCTACACACAAAGTGCACTGACCAGGAAAGGAATCAGGGTCTCCCACATGGGACGTGAGAATTCTACCACTAAACCATCACTGCCTCCTAACAGGTTAATATAAAAAGTGGGAAATTCAGAAAAAATACAAATACTACAAAAATGAAAAGCAGGCTGCACGGGATAAACTATCTCTCAGCTAGAAACTATGGGCCTTTGATATATTTTTTCAAGCTAAACAACTAAAATAGTGGGCATCCGGGTGTGATTTTAGCCAAGAGGATATTATTCCCCCAGGGCCATGCCCTGCCTCTTCTTCACAAGCAAATTGTCAAAAACCACTGAAAGTTTTCACCTCCTAATGCATGTTGGACTAGTCAAGGCAGCTGCTCGCTCAGATTTTAACCAACTACGTTTTGTGGCAAAGGCTCATACATTTTCTTTGGCCTTTATGATGTGTGCTCAAAATGGGGATGTGAACCAGTTGCCACTGAGTTGATTTCAACTCCTGGCAGCCCATGTGCTGTTATCAGGGCACAACTGTGCTCCACTGGGTTTTCAGAGGCTGATTTTTCAGACGTAGATCACCCGGCTTTTCTTCTGAAGGACCTCTGGGTGGACTTGAATCTCTAAGCTTTTGGTTAGCACCTGAGCACATTAACCATTTGCACCACCAGGAACTAAAATAGGGACAGCAGAGAGTTATCTGGGGATTCCCTGTCAGGCCCTGAATTCTGAGATATCATATCAGGAACCAGTAGGGCACATGAGTTTAAAAGCTTTACAATATATTATTGCCAAATACTGCCACATAACTAATAAAATTAAAAAGACACCAATATCTACCATATGCAGCTAAAGGAAAGCAGGCAGGGACTACTGGAATCAGGCAAGAAGCCATAATAAACACAATTCATACTTCTGGACAGCCACTAAAGAGTGCTAAGCAGCCCACCTGGCTTGGTTTTCTGGTTATTGTCTAAACTCATTGTTGCTGCGTTGATTCTGACACATAGTGATATCCTACAGGACTGAGTAGAATTGCCCCCTAGGGTTTTCAAGGCTATAATCTTTATAGAAGCAAACTGCCAATCTTCCTCCCACAGAATGGTAGATTTGAACCAGTGACCTTTTAGGTAGTAGGCAAGCACTTAGCCACTGCACCACCAGAGCTCCTTGGTTATTGCCTACAGAGATATAAATAGCTACCACAAGCAGATAACTTTCTTCTCAACTTTAGGTGGGAAGCTTACCCCTTTGCATAGCATTTATGGATGGGGTGGGGGGCCCTAAAGTGATAAAATCTGTAATGTCAGGGTGACAGAATAGCAATTTTCATAACTTCCTTTCAAAGCTGTCTATGAAACATGAGATGTAGGCAGGATAGAGAAGGGAATGGAGAACCATTTACCACTGAGACAGAAGGGAGTAGTGCACCATTTCTGAGAAAACATATTCACTGAGATACTAACAGGTGCTAAACAGAGGGAAAATTTTTTCACAAGGTCAAATATACTTGCTGGATTAAACAAATTCGTTCTTGAATGAGGGACTTCCCAAGGCCCTGAATAAGCTTGTGTGCACTCCGATGTGCCAAGAGTTGCCTAATATTTAACCATGGGATCTTGTTTTTCAAGGCCCTTCTTACTTTGGGACTTACTGGCTCTTATTCTGAGAAATGCTGACTTAGTAAATAAAGCCAGGTCTGGGAATCAGAAGACCTCAGGCTCCAGTTCTGGCTCTAAAACTTCCTAGCTTCCTGTCTGTGTAACCTAGGAAAGCTATCACAAGTGCTCAATAAATGGTGGTGTTTATTCATTAAACAATTCATTTTCATGAAGTTACGTCCAAATTGAACTGGTATCTTACCTACATCCGAGAGTACCCGAATACAACTCTCCACAGAGGCTTTCTGGCTCGGCATTAGCCAATTGCAATGGTAAACTCTGAACACACCTTGCAGCAGTTGCACAAAGACTGGTTGACGAGTCTGCAAGAAAGAGAGTCCAAGAGAAAGGCAAGATTAAAAGAAGACTTTTCTTTGCAGGTTACTGAAGCATGGAGCAGAAGTCATGCTGCCCTCAACTATGGGCTAATGTATCTTCCAGCGGGAGTGGGAAGGGGCTGCTGAGTTATGAGCTGGATTCCAGAGGCGACCTAACTAACAGAAAAACTCAGAAGCATTTTAAGGCTATGTACAAAGTTGATTTTATCTATCTAGGTTTGACCACAAGAAGGAGCAGTAGAGTCAAAGTCTGAAGACAGCAATTCTTGTCCAGCTACCAACTAGCTGCGTGATTTTGGGCAAATAACTTCACCTCTGTGGGCTTGAGTTATATCTAATATGTAAAATAAGTTGGAATCAACCAGATCCACCCCAAGTTCGTTCTAGATACATCCTTCAGTAGAATCTATACTTTAATCAGCAAAAACTAAAATGCCGTTTACTTCTTTATGGTAATGTTGTCAACAACATAAAGAGAAGACAGTTCTGATGGTTATTCTTCATAGGTATTCATTTATTATAGATGAGTACTTGGAAGTTAACTGCATGGTAGGAGTTATTCCTGTCTATAAAGATATAAATTTATACTCGTTTCAAAGCAACAGAACTCAAACTTCCACTTAATTTTTGATATTGACTTTGTTAATGCATTTAAAAACTACAATTTTAGTCTCCAATCCAAAGCTATCTGAATTAGGGTAGCTGGACCTGCAAGGCAAAGAAAACTATGAACTGTTTCACCAGACTTTAATTTTGGGGGAAGGGACTGGCATAGTCCTTCCAAAACCTAGTGGGATGCTAACATTGAAAAGAATAAAAGGGAAAAAAAGAGCACTGAAAATCTCTCTAGAGAGGTTTCTGAGACAGTAGGGGGGAAAAAATAATGAAAGTCCTAGGGGAAAAAAAGAAGTGTGTTACCAAAAAAAAAAGAATGAATAACAAAAACCAGAACTCCCTCTATAAATATTATCCTGATAATGTCATTTATTAAGTGTGTACTACATGCCAGACTTTTGACATATGATCTCACTGGGGCCTCAATAACAATTCTATGACATAGTAGTTCTATGTCAGAAATAAAACACAAAGGCCCAGAAGATTAAAGAAAGAATCCAAAAAGACTTAAGAGGTTATAGTAGAGCAGTGAGTTGACTTCTGATGCCCAAAATCCATACTCTTCCCTCTAAGTCCATCTGTGATCCAGGATCTTTTTGCTTTCTACAGGGAGTACTTTTTGTCCTGTATCCCAGCTGTCCAAGACAGTAAACTGTGCTACTAACAGAGGACAGGAGCACTGGGAGCCTGGAGAATTTGGTGAGAAACTCTGACAGTTACTGAGTAGATGAGTGGTAACACCCAACATTTCCCAAGCCCTGTTGCTGCTGCTCAGCTATGTCTGGGGGCCCGATGTGAGCAGCTGTTTAGGAAAATGCCATACCCGATGCTAAGCACTTTAGATAAATCTCATGTGACCCTCACAATGACCCTATGATACAAGCAATAGCATTACAACTTGCCTGTTGTCCACTAAGTGTTGGAATTAGGATGGGAACTCAACAGACTAAAACAAAGAAAGAAGTGTCTTTTAACTGAATTGATTTGAACTGAACTGGCACTTGACTGCTAACCAGAAGGCTGGCAGTTCAAACCCACCAGCCACTCCTCAGAAGGAAGGTTGGGCAATCTATTTCCATAGTGATACTGCCTCGGAAGCCCAAGGAGGGGTTGCTATGAGTCAGGTCCAAGTCAACAGCATTGAGTTTGGTTTTGGTTTGAACTGGCATTTGCTGAGCATCTGCTCTGCTCCCATCTGAAACCCAGGTAGAAAAAAGATGAATGAACTGGTCACAGTAGCTGGCTCTTAACTGTCCCCATCCATTGGCTGTCTGCTAGCATCACCTCACTGGACCTCTTGGGTAAAAGGAGATAGAGCTATCTGTCACCTTGTTCCTCAAAGTCTCTCCTTTCTTAGGTGCTGCGGTCCAACTTGCTCCTGAATCTACTCATCCTGCCTCTATGATAACTTTCATCTTCCTCCTGGGCTCTTTTACATCTTTTCCTTAATTATTTGTGCTATGCACCGTTTCCTTTTGGTCTGCCACTTCATTTTGCTGACCGAGACTTCAACTAGCAAATGTTCACCTTTGGTTTCTATCACTTTTCTGGTTCTCATTCATTCATTGATTCATTTTTTTTCATTCAACAAATTAGCATCTACTAGGTGCCAGGCAAGAGCTCTTGTAGTGTTGTGGTTAAAGCATTAGGCTGATAACCAAAAGGTTTGTGGTTTGAACCCACCAGCTACTCCACAGGAAAAAGATGAAGCAGTCTGCTTCTGTAAAGATTTACAGCCTTGGAAACTGTATGGGGAAGTTCTACTCCATCCTATAGGGTTGCTATGAGTTGGAATCAACTTGATGGCAGTGGGTTAGTTTTTTTTTTTTTAAGATGCCAGGCACAGTAATAGCTTCAAGATATAGCAAAATACGAGGTAACTGTGGACACAGGCATACCTTGGCCTCAACTAGCTTATAATCTAGCAGGTAGTAGTATATAATTGCTTCCATTTATTAGCTTCTATTGTATGCTAAAGGGGCCCTGGTGGTACAGTGATTAAGTGCTCAGCTGCTAACTAAAAAGTAAGTGGTTCAAATCCATCAGCCACTTCACAGGAGAACTATGTGGCAGTTTGCTTTAGTAAAGATTATAGCCTTAGAAACCCTATAGGGCAGTTCTACTCTGTCCAATAGGGTCATTATGAGTCAGAATCAACTTGACAGCAATAGGTCTGGCTTGGTTTTTATCGTGCTAGGGGATGTGCTACATGTTTCATAAACATTATCTCTAATTCGCACAATAACACCGCAAGGCCAGTATTATCCCTATTCGACATTAAAAAAAAAACAGCTCTGAAGTTCAGTGATATACATGAGTTCACAAAGCTGGAATGGGGCACGATGGTGATTTAATAACCTCAACTCTGTTCTGATTTAAAGCTCCGAACTTCTATTTTCCCTTCCTTGATTCCCTATCTTCAGCTACCTCCTGGACATTCCATTCTACCTTAAATGCAACACAATCAAACCCAAGCTCCCATTGCCCCCCTCACATATGTGGGAGGAAAGGCAGGGAGGCAGGGAGGGAGGAAGAGGGAGAAGGAGGAAGAAAGGTAGGTAAAAACCTAGATGGGAAGATAAGACAAGTGCCTTTCAATGCATAAACAAAATAAGACAGGGTATGAGAGCCTCAAAAACAGTATCTAATAAGTAATTCAGAATTCTATAAGCCCCCTCATAAAAAACCCAGAAACCTAAAAAGACAACTTGGACTTCATCATTTAAATGTATGTGGGCATCCCAAGCTTCGTCATGGAGTTACAAGATCAGTGCTGAAAACTCTGATAATGGGTCAAAAATGGGTTCAGAGGAAGAAAGGATCAAGATGAAAAACCAAAACACAAGTACCCGTTTAATAGTTTTCCAATTAATTTGACTGATTTACTCTGACATTTTGGTTTTGCAATATTATTTCACAATATGTAGGAAAATGGGCATTGCCATGGTGACTGTCACTTTAAATGAAAGAGAACCAAGTCTGACCTAACAAACACAAAGCAGCTTTCCAGGACAGCTCTTAGTGTTATAGTAATTGGTAAAGAACACCTTCTGGTCTCCAATAACTCATGTGCTTAGGATCTAACAAGTTGCTAGTCCCCAAATACTCAAGATTGTTGTTGTTATTGTTGTTAGGTACCTTCAAGTTGGTTCTGACTCACAGTGATCCTGTGTCCAAGAACAAAACACTGTCTAGTCCTGAGCCATCCTCACAACTGTTGCCATGTTTGAGCCCATTCTGATAGCCACTGTATTAACCCATCTCAGGAGGATCTTCCTCTTTTTTGTGGACTCTCCATCTTACCAAGCATGACATTCTTCTCCAGGGACTGGTCCCTCCTGATAATATGACCAAAGTACATGACGCAAAGTCTCATTAAATTCACTTCTAAGGAGCATTCTGGTTTTACTTCCTTCAAAATAGATTTGTTCAGTTTTCTTGCAGTCCATGGTATATTCAATACTCTTTGTCAACACCATAATTCAAAGGCATCAATTCTTCTTTGGTCTTTCTTATTCATTCTCTAGCTTTTGCTTACACATGAAGTGATAAAGGCAGCACTGTATGATACTTTAGTTTAACTTCTAAACTAAACAGAAGGTTACTATCGATTCATAGGAAAGCTCTGCTGTTATCGGATACCTTGCTAAAAATTTAAATTTTAGAGACACAGAGAAATGGGTTGAAATCATAGTTAGACCACTCAATAGCTGTGACCGTAGCTGGGCATAGTAATTAATCTATCAGACCCTCAGTTTCCTCAGCTGCCAAATGGGGATAATACATCTAACTTATAGGCCTCTCTGGGCTTATATGAACTGCTTTGCACAGTTACTGGAGTATAGTTAAAAAAAAACCTAATAAATGGTAGCAATGAGTATTATATTGACCATGAGTCACTCTTCCTTTGGAGAGACTGCATTAATTCATATTACTTATCTAAAATGTAACCATCCCAGGACAACTCCTATCTCTTTCCATGACAAGGATGGTTAATATTTCTCTTCTGGCCACTGGAGACCAAGACCAGCTTTCATTTAGCAGCCTGTGTGTATGCGCCTGTAGTAACACTGCAGTAATGGACCCAAATGTAAATTATAAAGAGTAGTTTTTCCAAGTTAAAAAAAAAAGTAATGAAAACATCCTCTAGATCCATGGATTCAAGGCTTTGAAATTGTAAGTATATTAAGAATGATCATGTAAAGCTACTAAACAAATTTAGGGGGCGCCATGACATAGAATTCAATGTGAATGGTGCCTCTGGAGCTATGTGATATAGCAACCCTGCTGCCATGAGAAACAACTTCTTACTCCAGCCATACACTATTTTCTATTTTTGATGAAGTTTAAAAAGACATTTGCAATTTTTTTTTTTTTTTTGAAGTGCTAATGATATGTGAGCACCTACATGAGACAGCTGCTTCTCTCTAAGAGAAGCCCTAGTAGCACAGCAGTTAAAGTACTTGGCTGTAAAGCTAAAGGTCAGCAGTTCAAACCCACCAGTCACTTCACAGGAGAACAATGAGGCAAAAGATTTACAGGCTTGGAAACCCTTTGGGGCAGTTCTATTCTGTCCTATAGGGTCACTATGAGTCAGAATCGATTTGGCGGCAGTGAGTTTGGTTTGGGTCCCTTTAGGATGGAGGTGGGGAGCTCTGGTAGCATAGTGGCTAAGACACTTGCCTGCTAACCAGATGGCTGGCGGTTCAAACCCACCAGCCACTCCTCGGAAGGAAGGTTGGGCAATCCTACTTCCGTAGTGATACTGCCTCGGAAACCCAAGGAGGGGTCGCTATGAGTCGGGGCTGACTCGACGGCACATAACAACAACAACAACAACAGGATGGAGGTGAGGTGGGCAAGAATAAAGCAAAAAGTAATAATAATGAAAAAGCATTTCTAGGAGAAAATGAAAAATTATTAGAAAATCTATTATAGGAAAATGTCCTCAGGTACACTTCTTTATCCTCCACAAGGAGAAAAACATCTATTATCAATGATTTGCAGGAGGCTCACCTCCCAAATTAGCTTCAACTACAACCATTGAAGATCACTGTTAATACCCTGGATCTACATTTGTATTTCTTACCTGCAGAGTTGTACTCTGATCTGAGAAGGGAGAACTGAAGAAGGTAGTAACAATACTCATGACAATTTCGGTCACATACTTCTCCAAAATGGAGTCTGCGTGTTTCCTGTCACTTGTGTTGTTACAGGCCTGGAAGACAATTGAATACTTTAACGATTACACCAAAGCTTGCATGTCAGGGGTAAACTTAAGAAACACATCACCTTCCCACTGGTTACCCTTACACACAAAAGGTAAAGGCTTGCAGGTCAGTATTTCTCTCCTAAAGAGATAATACAAATAAATTACGGAAAAAGAGAAACACATCCACTCAAATATCAGAGCTGTAGAACAACAAAACATGAAAATTGGTATGGGTCCCATAAGGCCACCACTTCTAACTTCCTAGCAAGTGTGAAACCTCAAGAGTTGATAAGAAGCATGGTAACTACATGTGACGTATTTCAACGTTTCCCTAACAGTAACCTTCTGGTTAAGCCATTCATCTGCTCTAGGTCATGGGCTCTTAATCAATGTAGTCAAGTGAATCAATTATATCCCTGAGGTCCTTTGTGCCTAATGTTTTACAACACTTTAACACTCCTCTAGTCAATAAGAAATTTTACATTGTTCAAAATAATGGGCCATGATTCAGAATAAATGACTATAAATTCTGTGGTGAGATGAAACCTAAGATGTCACCAGTACTTTACCTAATTTTGATGCTTAGAGTAAGATTAGCCAGAAGAACAGATTTAGAGAATACATTTTTAAAAATCAAGTTTTAGTAATAATTACCATGTTCTGAGGTTAATATCAGGCAGTTTGAGGAGACATTTACAGAACAAGGTTAGTAACTGACTTTATAGTATTTTTGAACAATTTTATGTGAGGGTTGGTAAAGTAAGGTTCAGTGGGCCAGGCTAGCAGCTATTTTTTCAAATAAAATTTTATTGGAATATAGCCATGCTCATTCATTTAATGAGCATATTGTTATGCTATTATAGAGCTACAACCGTAGAGTTGAGTACTTAGGACAGACCCCAGATGATCCACAAAGTTGAACATGTATTTACTTTCTGTCCTTTTACAGAAATTCATTGTTGACATCCGATATAAAGAAACAATGTTGGCTCTCATTCTAAGGCAAAGGCCTTAGACTTACAGGATTAAGAGACTGGAAAGAGTTTGAGATAAAATAAAACTATATCTGTGATACAAACATGTAAGCGCTATTAAATGCAGTACTCAATTAGAAAGAAAATTAGTTCTTGCAGGCTCCTGGCCTCACAATGCTAAGTGCAAAATAAAGTCAGGCAGAAATACCACATTCTATGATTCTAAAATGTATCTATTTTCCTTTTTAACATCATAACATTTCTGAAATAGGGACACAGCTCACCACTGTTCTCTGAAGAACCTTGTTACATGCCCTCTCCCCAACTCCGCCATCATAAAACTCAGAGTAAATCCCCAGTGTGCTTTGTTATGTAGTAGCCTTGTGCCTTTGGTGTGGATATTAAGCTCAAGTGCAAAAACTAAATTAAGTACATTGAAACCCATTCTGACTGCTGGGTCAGGAAAACAAACGACAGAAAGTGAGGTGTTTTGTAAAATCCTCAGCGTGAGAATATAGGAGATAAATGCTCAAGTACAGGAAGGTGCCCTTCAAAGATAGGATATGTTATCAAGGAAAAGAGAACCTTATCAATTTTATTACAATATGTCCTAGGTTATCATTCACAAATCAGTCCATGGGGGTAAAAGAAATAACCTATCTTCCCTGAAACTTGGTAACTAAAATCTACTCTTAGCTAAGAGCAAAAGGTAGAAAGAAGTGATAGGAGTGAAAGGAATCAGAGTTCAAATTAGACAATGCAGAGTCTACTCACACACATGAACTCTGGCTCCTTAGTTCTACAAAGTCTTACCCTACAGATGTCCACAAGGAAATTTTCAAACAACTTCCACATGTGATTGCTAGTGTAGATCTCCTTCATTTCTACCTCAGTGTCCACGTAGCAGTGATTCAGGAAGTTAATGTATGCAATTTTAACCTGGAAGACAGAAATAAGCTTTTCTGGAAAACCAAGTTGCTATATGTGGTATTGGTTCGTTGCATCATGTTAATAGTGAGACAGACAGACCAAATGGTTATTCCATTTTCACCTGCCAGCTCAATTCCTATGATTTTTTGATATTCAAAATCAGTAAGTATAACATCCAAATGTATAAAGCTCTGGAAGAGAATATTTTCATGACCTACAGGTAGAGAATGACACAAAAAACAAGAACCATAGGGGAGAACACAGACAAAATTGATATTAAAAAATTTCTGTTCATGAAATCACAGAACTAGAAGTATTAAACGGCATTGATCAGAAGAAGATATCTGCAATATATTTAATCAACAAAGAGCTCTTACAGGTTAGTAGAAATAAGATAAATACCCCAACTTAAAAAAAAGGCAAATAATTTGATCTAATATTTTTTAAAAAAAGAGAAATATAAAGTATTTAATAAACACATGGAAAGTGGTTCAACCTTATTTAGTAATCAAGGACATAAATTAAAACCACTATGAGATACCACAATGGTCGCTGGGTGGTACAAATGGTTAAACATTCAAGTACTAGCCAAAAGATAGGCAGTTGAAACCTACTAGAAGGGACTCAGAAGAAAGGCCTGGCTATCTGCTGCTGAAAGGTCACAGTCATGAATAGCCTCTGCAGTGTAATTGTATTCTGACACACATGCCGTCACCATGAGTCAGAATCAACTCAACAGCAACTGACAACAAGATACCACTATATACCCATCAGCTTAACAAAGCATTTTAAAGGGTCTGATGACACCAAGCATTGGCAGGGCTGTGGATCAGCAAGAGCTCTGGAGGGAGGAGGATGGAAACTGCAAAAACTATGTTGGAAAACAACTTAGCATCATTAAATCAGAGGGAAGAAAGGCACATTCATTGTCATAGCACCTCCACTTCTAAGTATACATCAGGAGAAATGTGTGCACATGTGCATGAGGACACACGCATGGGTCGTAACAGGCCAAAACTGCAAACAACTGAAATGAGCATCGACAGAAGGATAGAAAGAAGATCATGCTGTGGTATAATGATACCATGGAATTTTCTAAAGCCAAAAAAAAGAACACAGCCACATGCAGGAAGATGGATGAACATTTAACAACATAAGGGTGAATTTAAAAGGACACAAAATAATACACAACCAAAGTTCCAAAAGTGATAAAATGAAATTATATTTTTAGGGATGTATAAAGAAAAACAACCACAGTATTATATAAAAGTCAGCACATGGTTACCTCCACAAGACACTTACAGGGAGGTCAATGACTAGGAAAGGACATATAATGGGTTTTTGTTAATTTCTTGGCCTAGATGCTAGTTACACAAATATTCTCTTTATAAATATTCTTACACTATACAATTGAAATGTATGTGCTTTTCTGTAACTTATGTTGTATATCAAATACAAAAAGATTAAAATACAAGTTTATACTAACCCATAATAAAGAAATGCAAATTAAAATGATGCTGAAATATGGTTTTCATCTATCAGATTCACAAGAACCCAAAAGTTTGATAACATACTGTGTGGGTCAGCTGTGAGAAAATAAGAAATCTCATTATTTTATTATTGTAACTCAACCTATTGCTGTTGAGTCAATTCTGACTCACAGTGACCCTAAAGGACATAGTAGAAGTATCTCATAGGGTTTCCAAGACTGTATTCTTTACAGAAGAAGACTGCCACATCTTTCTCCCATAAAACTGCTGGTGGGTTTAAACCACTGACGTTCCATTACCAGCTGAGTGACTTAATCATGGTACTCCAGGTCTCCTTACTTTATTATCAAAATCATTTATTATTATTATCTCAATATATTATTATAAATTGGTACAACACTCAAAGACAGCAATTAGGATATATCTGTATAATAGAATGTTGTGCAACTATAAAAGAGGAATGCAGACTGATGCAGAAAGAAAATACAGCATTCCAGTGCACAACAGTATATTCAGAGTGCTCTCTTTGGTATTTAAAAAAAAAGGGGGGAGGGGTGGAATACATATTTTGTATGTATTTATATGCAAAACTCTGAAAGGCTAATAGAAAAACATAATAAATGATTTTTCACAAGATATGAGGGGAAGAGATTAGATTTTTTTATGGTTTAGCCAAATCTACTGTTGTTGAGTTGATTTCAACTCAGACCAATTCTATAGGACAGAGTAGAACCACTCCATAACTGGTTTTCCACTCAACAAGTCATGCACATTTTCTTTTGTGACGTTCACTGCAATCCGCACATTGCAGCAGCACTCTTCCCACTTCCTCTCTGTGTTTACCATTTCCCTTCATCCTCCTTTCCTATCCCTTTCTGCCTTCTTAGCATTATCCCTGAGCAAATGCTGACCTTTTGATCTCATATGGCTGGTTGTTCTAATGAGTGCATACCTTCCTGGTATTATCGTTCACTTTATAGGCCTACAGTTTGGCTGAAAATGAGCCAGGGAGTCAGTTCAGTTCCTGGCTTGAAGGGTATCAAAAGGCCACAGTCTCAGGGGTTCTACCAGTCTTCATTAGACCAGTAAGCCTGTCTTATAATTCTGTGTTTTGTTTCACATTTTTCTCCCACTCTATCAAGGGTGTAATCTTATGGAAGCAGATTGCTTCATCTTTCTCCTTTGGAGCAGCTGGTGAATTCAAACTACCAACCTTTCTTTCACTTAGCAGCTGAGTGCTTAACCACTATATCGTGAGGGATATTTTAGCACTTTATTAGCTTTTCATATTTGAACCATGTAAATGTATTAACTTTTTAAAAAATTCATCTAAAAACATATTACATATAATCAATGTATATTATATATGATATGTATATTTATACTTTTAATATTTTGAGACATAAGAATAAAATGTATATAATATGATCTACATTTTGTTATTGAACAATACGTATAAATAGGAAAATAGAAGTCCTTAATAAACTTAAAAATTTAACAGACAATATGAATAAACTTTAAAAACATGCTAACTGAAATAAATTAGACAAAAAGGACAGATATTTTCACTTACATGAAATGTCAGAATAGACAAATGGATAGTGTGGTGGTTATGTTTGTGTGTCAACTTGGCTGGGCCTGACTGAGTGGCTGGGCAGCTGGTGGTAGTTATTTCCCATTATGAGACTGGCATTCAACTCCACGGTGGGATCTACCACAAGCAGCTGAGTAGCTGCTGTTGGGATGTGGTTGCTTCCTGTATATAAGGAGAAGCCTTGCAAATGGTCTCTAGCCTATAGTACACTTGGACCCTGCATGCCCCTGTGTCGTTGCTCAGCAGCCTGCTATGCTCTGCTGACCTTGGGACTTAAAATGGACTTAAGTTAATGGCCTTCCGTGTGGTTTGGTAACATTGGGACTGTGCCCTTTTTACTTGTCAATCTTGGGGCTTCTCAGCCTCAGCAGCCAGAAGCTGTCTGAATGAAGAAACGCCTCTAGCTCTAGTGGGCTGGGAACAGGAGGCAGAGCTGGACCCCAAGGGTGAGAGGCTTTCACCTAGCCCCTAGGGCCTGGCACTTTGAACTTGAACGTAAAGCCTCCTAATTGTAAGAATAAACTCTTGTTTGTTAAGGCCATCCCATTTGTGGTATATTCCTGTCAGAGTGGGACTAGGTAACCAGAACAGATAGAAACAAAGTTTATTAGTAATTACCAGGGGCTCAAGGAGGTGAGAATAGGGAGCTCATTGATTAAAGTACACTGAGTTTCTATCTGGGGTGATGTAAAACTTTTGGAAATGAACAGTGGTGATGATAGCATAATATACTAAGTGTAGTTAATATCACTGAATTCTATATTTAAAAATAGTTAAAGTGGTAAGTTTTCTGTTATATATATTTTACCACAATAAGACTTATTTAAAAAGAGACCAACAAAACAAAACTTAACAGGCCCTTATTATTGATTATGGAACTTTATTTTTATTTTCTTATTGATTATCTGTAGTTCCTAAATTTTCTATAATAATCATGTATTATCTTTGAAGACTTTTCTTTTTAAAGAATAGACTTACAGAATAATTCTTCCATTCATATGAACTATATGTCAACTCACTCTTAACCTCATTTCTGAGAAGCTCATTCAGTAAACCTTAAAACGATTTTCAGCTTTTAAGGAGACAGAAGAAAAGACCAACATCCTCTACATTCCTTTCACACAAAATCAATGCTCAAGAAAATTTTGTTTTATCAAACTGAAATCTCATTACAAAAATGAGCTACAGACACCCTGAGTTTCCCACCAAGCCCAGGCCCATAAACAATGGAGTGAGATGAGAAGGGCATATCCTAGTCAGGGCTCTCACCTCAGGGATGCAGTCCTCATGGGTTACCACGCGGACGATGTCATCCAGTGGCAGAAGGGAGTTGCACTTGATCTCCGTGTACACATTCTTGCCCTCCGTGCACACGGCCAGGAGCTCTACTAAGTGGATGTGGTACATGAGAGGGCTGTTCTCATCCATGCGGTCCCGCTCTGATCTCATCATCTGGATCAGAGTCTGGAAAGAGGCTCTGTCATTGTAGAATACAAGTACATCCTCTCCTGAGTTGACCAGCTGTAAAAAAGAACAGCTCCTATTTATGTTACAAGCTTGCAGGGGATGAGAGGGAAACAGCATAAAAAAGGTAGCAAAAGCTATCTGCAAAGATATTCCATTGTATTGACCTTCCAGAACTAGTCTCACCTATATTCCTAATCTCCTCTAGATTTCATCCATTTCTATTATTGAATCAAAAGTATTCAGCATCAAATTTTAAACCACAGAAACAGAAAATACCATAGTGACTTTAAAATTATTAGGGTAAAAAAGGAATTCTGGTAGCATAGTGCCTAAGGCACTTGATTGCTAACCAGAAGCCTGGTGGTTCAAACCTACCAGCCACTCCTTGGAAGGAAGATGGGGCAATCTACTTCCTTAGTGATACTGCCTCGGAAACCCAAGGAGGGGTCACTATGAGTCGGGTCCAATTCGACAGCACATAACAACAACAGGCTAAAAAAAGTCTACATACATGTTTTCAAGTATGAAACAGAAATATCTATTGCAAGCTTACACTTGAAAATTATTTCTACACCTGTATCAACCAAAAAACTGATATCCATTGCTTTCGAATCAATTCCAATTCATAGTGACCCTGAGTGTTACAAAGAAGAATTGTACTCCATAGAGTTTTCAATGGCTGTGATCTTTACAAAAGCAGGCCCTTCTTCTGTAGTGCCACTGGGTGACTAAGAACTAACATTTAAATTAGTTGTCAAGAGTTTAACCATTTGCACCATTTAAAAATGTTTGCAACTTCTTTTTATGCTTTATGAAGCATCTCTCTTATAACTTTTTCACACATTATCTCATCTCTTTGATCACAAATTATCCATTTCTAATTAAGACATGTCTTCCTTTCAAATTTCATCAAAAAATCAAGGCATTCCTATATAGAACTTGTCCACTAGGACTGTGATTTCTCACAAGTCAATTTAGGAATAAATCAATTTTAGTATTACATGAAAACTAAAAGATGCAAAAAAGGGTGGCACCAAAGTCAAAAGGAATATGGTCAATATTTACTTAATAACAACTAATTTTCATGACCTCCAACTATGTGCCAAATATTGTGATAAACACATTATTTAGATGGATTACGTAATCTCACTGTGCCTCAGCTTCTTCATCTGTAAAAAACGGGACAAATGGAATACCTAACTCACAGAGCTGCCAGGAAAATTAAATAAGTTATTATATAAAATGTGCTCTGAACAGTGCCTAGAGTATGGTAGATTTTGAATAGATGTTAGCTATTCCTGTCATCATCATGTCATTAAATCACATGTCAACTCTTTCTAGTTAATATGCTGTATCTTTGTTTTACAGAAATTAACACTGAGAGTGAGCGGTCAAGTAACAACGGCGAGTCCCTGGCCCACAAAATAATCCAGTGACATATGTATGTCAGGTCAAGTCAACTCTCTTAATTACACTACACTATTTTCCACTGGGTGGTGCAAATGGTTAACATGGTCAACTCCTAACCAAAAGGTTCGTGGCTCAAGACTACCCAGAGGTACCTTGGAAGAAAGCCTGGTGATCTGCTTCTAAAAAATCAGCCACTGAAAACCCTATGGAGAACAGTTCTACTCTGACACACATGGGGTCGCCATGAACAGGGGTTGACTCGACAGCAACAGTTTTTTCCTTTTTTTTTTTTTTTTTTATTTTCCACTGGAATTATGTACATAGGCAGGATTTCAAAACCAATTGTTGGCTGGATTTGCTCAACACTTCATTTTATTAAAGACTGGAGGGATGAAATTGAGCATATAGAGAAGTCAGTCATGTGTGTTGTAGTGTGGGCCTTCTTGGTCACAGACATCAATGAGGTCTGAATTTTCCCTAAAGAATCAATGGGATTTTCCCATGATTCCACTGAGCAGTTTCTCTTTGTGACTGAGAAAGCAATACTTTTTTAATTAGACGAATAATTAAGGAAAAATTTATATAATCCACAAAAAGGATAGCTAGTTTGGCTCACTGATTTCCACCCACATTGTATCTCCACTCACTCCATTTCAGTTCATTATTCTTGTTTTCTTTTCCTTCTCAGAAGAATGTAAACCAAATTTCCTTAAAATAAATAGAAGTATGACTGTATAAAAGTATCAGTTCGGATTCTTGCCTATATTTAAGGTCTAAGTTCACAAACATGAGAACATGCACATTCACACACTCTCTCACAAATACATACAATTACTTCCACCATTTAATGTGGTTTTTGGAGAGGGTTCCAGTTCATACATTTAAGATTAATTAATTTGAAAATTTCTACGCATCATCAAATGAAGGTACATAGAAATATATAGTTGTCACCTCAGCCATGACCATGTCTTGGCACTTCTTAATGAATTTTCCTTCTGCCTTGACAATAGTCTGCAAGAACTTGATATACTGGACATTTCGACCATGGGTCTCAATGCAGTGAACGAAGTGCTGAACAACTCTCTCGTTGATCTCACTGCAAAGCTGGAAATTGTTCATGAAAATGTGCTGCATCGTTACCGCCTCCAGGATCTGATACAAAAGCGAGAACAAGAGCACAGGGAAATGGTCAAGAGGAGGCTGTGGCAAATTAAGTGAGAAAAAAAAGTGCCCACTAAAAAACAGAGAGAAGAAATTAAGCCCATTCATACTTCTATACTATCTTCTTTTTTAGTAAACTTTTTAAATGACATATAATAAACACACAGGAAAGTAAACAAATCAACAGTATAGAGTAAGTGGATTACAAAAGGAACACCAGCACCCAGGCCAAGAAACACAATAGGCCACCCTTATGACCACTCCCTCCTCCAATTTAACTGCTATTTTGATGTCAATAACCATACATTAATTTTGCCTGCACTTGAACCTCATGCATTCGTTTCTGTCTGGCTTCTTTTGCTCAATGTTACACTTGTGAAATTCATCCATGTGGTGTCACTGTTGTTGTTAGGTGCCATAGAGTCAGTTCCAACTCACAGCAACTCTATTTACAACCCAAAAAAACACTGCTTGGTTCTGCACCATCCTCATAATCTTTGCTATGCCAGAGCCCACTGTTACAGCCCCTGTGACAATCCATCTCATTGAGGGTCTTCCTCTTTTTTGCTGATCCTCCACTTCACCAAGCATAATGCCCTTCTCCAGGGATCAGTCTCTTGTGACAACATGGCCAAAGTATGTGAGATGAAGTCTTGGCAATACTGATTCTAAGGAGCATTCCAGCTGTATTTCTTCCAAAAATAGATCTGTTCATCTTCTGACAGTCCATGGTATATTCAATATTCTTCACCAGCACCATAATTCAAAGACATTAATTCGTTAGACTTCCTTTTCAACGTCCAGGTTTTGCATGCATATGAGATGACTGAAAATACCGACTTGAGATATCTCAGTCCTCAAAGTGACAACTTTGCACTTTTGACACTTTAAAGAGGTCTTTTGCAACAGATTTGCCCAGTGCAATAAGAAGTCTGATTTCTTGACTGCTGCTTCCATGGGTGTTGATTTGGATCCAAGTAATAGGAAATCCCTAATTTTCCTCTATTTATCATGATGTTGCTTATTGGTCCAGTTGTGAAGATTTTTGTTTTCTTTATGTTGAGGTATAATCCATACTGAAGACTGTAGTCTTTGATGTTCATCAGTAAGTGCTTCAAGTCATCTTCACTTTCAGCAAGCAAGGTTGTGTCTTCAGCACAAGTTGTTAATGAGTCTTCCTCTAACCCTGATGCTGCATTTTTCTTCATATACTCCAGCTTTTTGGATTATTTGCTTAGCATATAAACTGAGTAAGTATGGTGAAAGTATACAATACTTTCCTGCATTTAAACCATGCAGTACCCCCTTGTTCTGTTTGAACAACTGCCTCTTGATCTTGGTCTATGGACTATGTCTTTTGGTCTTGGTCTCAGGTCTTGTCACATGAGCACAATTAAGTGTTCTGGAATTCCCATTCTTTGCAATGTTATCCATAATTTGTTATGATCCACAAAGTCACAAGTATTTACATAGTCAATAAAACACAAATAAACATCTCTCTGGTATTCTGTTGTCATCAAGATCCATCTGACATCAGCAATGATATCCCTCTTTCCACATCCTCTTCTGAATCCAGCTTGAATTTCTGGCAGTTCCCTGTTGATGTACAGCTACAACTGTCTTTTGAATCATCTTTAGCAAAATTTTACCTGTGTTTGATATTAATGACATTATTTTGGTAATTTCTGCATTCCGTTGGATCACCTTTCTTTGGAAGGGGCACAAATATGGATCTCTTCCAGTTAGTTAGCCAAATTTCTTGACATAGATTAGTGAGCACCTCCAGTGCTGCATCTGTTTGTTGAAACATCTCAGTTGGTATTCTGTAGACTCCTGGACTCTTATTTTTCACTAATGGCTTCTGTGGACCTTCTCGTTCAATGTCATTTGTTCTTGATCATATGCTACCTCCTGAATGGCTGAATAATGACCAATATTTTTAGTAGAGTGACTCTATGTATTCTTTTATCTTCTTTTGATGCTTCCTGCATCATTCAATATTTTGTCCATGGAATCCTTCAATACTGTACCTTGAGGCTTTAATTTTTACTTCAGTTCTTTCTGCCTGAGAAATGCTGAGTGTGCTCCTTCCTTTTGGTTTTTTAACTTCAGTTTTTTGCACATTTCATCAAGGAAATCATACATGAAGAAACCAAAAGACCATAAAAAAGACAAGAAAGAAGGGGGAAAGTGCTGTTGCATTGAGGGGAATGCAGTGAATGTCATAAAACAGAATGTGTATTGATTGCTGAATTGGAAAAAATGTAAATAAATTTTAAAAATAAAAGAAGGAAAGAAAGAAAAGACCAAAATTGATGTCAGAGAGATTCTGAAACTTGGTCTAGAATGCAGAAAAGCTGAAGTGAATGGAAGAAATGATGAAATAAATGAACTGAACAGAAGATTCCAAAGGGCAGCTAGAGAAAACAAAAGTACAACAATGAAATGTGCAAAGACCTTATTGTCACTACTTTATATGCATACATATATATTCCATTGTAAGAATACACCACAATGGATTTACCTATTCTATTGTTGCTGACCATTTAGGGGTAGTATCTAGCTTTAATCATAAGTAGTGACACTATTTGTATTATAAAAACAAATACCATTCCAAATAGTGCTGCTCTGAACATTTGTGTATGTGTCTTCTGCTAAATTTAATGTGTGCACTATTGCAGAATTGACAGGTTACAGGGCATGAACTGCCAAATTGTTTAGAAAGATGTTAATAATTCACATCCTCACCAATTTATATTCCACATTACAGGTGTTACATATCCTTGCCAATACTTAGTATTGTCAATTTTTAAAAATTTGAGTCATATCTTATTGTGGCTTTAATTTACATTTGACTGATGATGACTACTGTCACATTTATTGGCCATTCAGATACCCTCTACTATGGAGTGTTGGGTCAAAGTTTTACCAATTTTTAAAAATGGGTTGCCTATCTTATTTCTTACTGACTTGAGTTTCTTATACATTCTGGATAATGAATTCTTAATTGAACATGTGCATTGCAAAATGCCTCCTCCCATTCTCTGGTTTGCTTTTGGATACACTTAATATCATTTGATGAAATGAAGTTTTTAATTTTTAAAAAGTCCAGTTTATCGCTATTTTCCTTTACAATTGGTGTTCTTTGCACCCTGTTTTAAAAACCTTTGCTTACCCTATTGTCATGAAGATATTAGCATACTATCTTTCAGAAGATTTGTTTTTTACTTTCTACCCAGAGTTATTGTGTAATGTTTGGTGTGAGGTAGGGAACTTTAACTTCTTTATTTTTTACCTTTTCTTTCTCTTTTCAGGACAAAAATGGAATGTTGTCCTATGTCAAAGAGAGAAATTGATAGCAGTTATCTTGCTTTGATTTTGGGGTTTTCTTACCCACAGAACCAATTACTCAATGAAATAAATTCCTGACCAAAATGAATCCACTAGGGACTTTCCTTTCACCCAAAGTAGCAAATCCTTCCTTTCCTGTTCAAAGCCAGGCTTACTAAAAGTTGAATTTCAAAAGATAGGTTTGGGTAGAGGGCCAGAGACCATCTTGTGACTTGGTATATGTTGGTCTCAGTAAAAAAGAGAGGGCAAGGTTCAGTCAATTATGTTAAGATTAGCCAATGGTTGATTGTCTATACTTCTCCCTCTTCTCTTTATAGCCTCATTTCACCTAGCATCTTCGAGCCATTTGCTTTTTCTGGAATCAAAATAATCTCCCTATACGCATATAGAATAATCACTCATAATAAACCTAATGTTCAAATTTCACTGAGATTTGATTATTTTTACACCTACCACCCAGCAATCCTTTTCTGGAAATCTACTAATAAGTGAATATATATGTATGTGAACACAACTGTACAGGAAGTTCTTTGTAGGATTGTTTACAAAGCCAGAAATTAGATAGTGTCTAATTGTCCATAAATATGATTTTGGTTAAAACAACCAAGTTATAGGCATTCTATGTAATGTCATGAAGCCATCAACAACAACAAAAAAAAAAAAAAGGAGAGAGAAAGAAATCCATTTCTGATTTGCAAGACAACTACAATGTGTTAAGTGAAAAAAATCAAAATGCAAAATAATGTGTACAGTGTATTACTGTTTTTCTTTTTAAAATGTTCAATACCTATTAAATATATTCTAAAAGATGTATGTTATATAATATAGATATATTTTATATGGTGTGGTATTTAAAACTGTGTGTCAACGTGGGTGGGCAGCTGGACACAGTTATTCCCCATGATGAGATTGAATGCAATGTAATCAGTTCCATGGCAGAATCTGCTGTGCGGAGTTAATTAATTGCCTTTACAGTGTGGCCTGCTTTCAGTATACAAGGAGACGCTTTGAGAAAGGTCTCTAGCTTTTGGTACTTCTGGATTCTGCATTTGGCCAAATCTTCATCTCAATGGCCTGCCACATTGCCTGCAGATCTTGGTATTGTATTTGGACTTGAACTAGTGGCCTGCTGTGTTGCTTGCTAATCTTGCATATGCCATTTTACTTGTCGAACTTGGGTTCATCAGCATCAGCAGCTGTGTGAATCAGAAAAAAAAAATGCTTCCAGTTCTAGTGGGCCTGGAACAAGAGGCAGAGCTAAAGCCCAATGTTGAGGGGTCTTCACCCAGCCCCTAGAGTCAGCACTTTGAACTCGGACTTCTAGCTTCCAAAACTGTGAGAGAATAAATCCCTGTTTGTTAAAGTCATCCAATTGTGATATTTCTGTTATTGGAGTACAAGAGAACCAAAACATATGGATATATATTTGTATAAATAGCAAAATGTATGTAAGGATATACTCTTTTAACGAGTATGCCTTGGAAGGATGTAGCTGGAGAGTTAGCCTTAGCACTTCTGTACTGCTTACATTTGATATAGTAAGAATTTTATTAGGAAAAAATATATCTTACCTTGCCTGCCCCTACCACGTTTTACCGTTCCACACCCATATCCTCCCTCCCAAAAAATGGGGAGTATTTTTGTCTTCCTTAGAGTTGATCAAAATGTTCCCCTTTGGAATGAATGTTGCATTCTAAGTCCCAGAAGCCACAAAGGCAGAAGAACAAGTTGTTCTTCTTTGCTCTTCCCACCCTCCTCCCCACACAGATTTCCAGACAAGCCTTGAGTCTTACCCCTGGGTTGAGAAACAGATTTATGTGTTTGTGTAGCAGAGCTTGATTCTGCTGATTGCCTGCACAGAAATTCTGCAAGAATTCATGAGCCAGCCTCATTATCTCCTGCATCTTGGTGTCTTCAGCCTGATGGGAGAGGCAAGATGAGAAGTGAGTTGAAAACAGGGTTGTATGCTACACAGGAGAAAGCACTGCTCTTCAGGCCAGGTTCTATCACACCTCCATCACCTCCTACCAAATCTGGGATCCAAGAGGTGTTTAGTGAGGGCCTGCTGGGTATAAAATATAGAGGCACTGCACTGTTGACCAAGCAAAGAATCAAGTAACTTGTTCATGCCTCACTGATAAAAATGAATTCTCTCTTCAGCAGAAAAAAAAAGATTTAATTCAGGAAAAAGACAATACAGAAGCTCAGTGTCCTTTAAGCACTCAGCTCCTGTTAAGGGTGATGGGAAAATTTAGGAAGAGATAATGGTAAGGTTGAACAACATGATAACTAAACAAAACCAATGTCACTGAATTGAACATGTGAAGAATGTTGAAAAGATAAATGATTATATTACAAATATATTTACCACGATAATTTTTTTAAAAAAGGCAATACAGATCCTATTCACGAAGAGAGAAAGCCAGTAAATAGTACCACCCATTTTGTATGAATCTCTTGAGGATTAAAGAAGTTAATTATTGTTGCATACTGTGACATCAATTCTGGCTAATAAAGGCCCTATAGGACAGAGAAGAACTGCCCCATAGGGATTCCTAGGCTGTAATCTTTATGGGAGCAGAATGATGGGTCTTTCTCCCATGGAGTGGCTTGTGGATTTGAACTGTCGACCTTTTGGTTAGCAGCTGAGCACTTAACCACTGTGCCACTAGGGCTCCTTACTGAGCTATTAATATAAAGGATTTAGCCAAGTGCCTGGCACCTTGCAAGTATCCAAATGAGGGTCTTATTTAGGGGACTTTTCACTAACAAGTTGGCCCCTCTGGCAGCCACTTCTGAATTTGAGATCTAAGGCTTTGGACTCAAAACCTCTCCAAGCCTCAGTCACCTCATCTATCAAATGGGAACACCACCGCTGCCTCAGTGGGTTTTGTGAGGAGTCAATGAGTACTTTGGCACATGCCTTGTCAGGCTACATGGACATAAAGCACTGTTTATTCTGCTTCCCTAAATCTCACCTTTGTCAACAATAAAGTCAAAGGTGAAAATTCGAAGGGATACAAAGAATATCTATCAACATAAAAGAATACTTAGAACCAAGTATCACTTGATAGATTCAAGTACTTCACTTAAAAAAAAAAATCTAAATTCACTGCCATTGAGTAGATTCCAACTCATAGTGATCCCTCTGAGGGATTCACTTGGTTTCTGAAGTGGTATCTCTACAGAAGTAGATTGCCCAGTCTTCCTTCCAAGGAGTACCTGGTGGGTTTGAACCACCAGCCTTCTGTTTAGCAGTCAAATGCCTTAGGCACTACACCACCAGAGCTCCCTTAGTACTTCATTAGATGTCAGCATACTAGTAAGGATCTCACAGGTGGGCAAGTACCAAGTTCCTATACACATTTAAGAACTGCTAGAGCTTAAATAGGAGCTCTGGTGGCACAGTGCCTAAAGTATTTGACTGCTAACAGGAGGCTGGCAGTTCAAACCCAACCGCCACTCCCTGGAAGGAAGATTGGGCAATCTACTTCCGTAGTGACAATGTCTCAGAAAACTAAGGAGGGGTCGCTATGAGTAGGATCTGACTTGACGGCAGTGAGTTTGGTTTTTTTTTTTAGAGCTTAAATTGTTTGAGGGTAGTGCAAAGAGTTAATGTATTCAGCTAGTAACTGAAAGATTGGTGGTTCAAGCCCACCCAGAGGTGCCTCAGAAGATAGTCTTGGCAATGTACTTCTGAAAATTAAGCCAATGAATATCCTATTCTATTCTGACATACATAGGGCCACCATGAGTCGAAGTAGACTCAACAGCAACTGGTTGGTGGTACTGTTTAAATTGCTTGAATGATGTTGAAACCATACAGAACCAACCCAGGTGTAAATATAGCTCTGTCAATCAAAACTCTGGATACAGACAAAGCTGCCTCTACTGAGTATGACTTGGGAGAGAGGGAAGAATAAGTGGACTCTTAACTTTATACAATCTTAAAATGGGAGGGAGGTTGTTTATGGGTGATTTTATTATATTTTTACAATGTACTATTTTGTTTCATATATTATTATTATTTAATATATTAAATAATTATATAACTAACATATATATTGAATAATAATGGGGGAAGGAAGACATATATATAGGGGACACAGAACTTCTTTTCAGGGTAATAGAAAAATTCAGGTAGAGTTCATGGTGATGGTTGAACAATATGAGGAATGTAATTAATGTCAATGAACTTTACATATGAAGACTGTAGAAAAAATTGTTACCTATATACTTATCACAATTTAATTTTTTTTTAAAAGACAGATTACCACATGCTTTATCCACAAAAATACCTGACATTTCTGACTTAAGACATTTTGACTCTAACAAATAACTCTATTTCTTATGACAAAATAAAAATAATAATAATCTCAAATTGCTTTGCAGGCACAATAATCTCATCAGCTTCGCTCCTCCCCCAACAGTACCCAGACGTGGTGGGTTTAGAACCTGGGGCTGGACTCCACACTAGGGTGGCAGCAGCGGGCTGACCCCTCACCTTCTCATAGGGGATCTGCAGCAGCTCCAGCACCACGGTGTGGGCGCCCATGTTCCGCAGCAGCCGCTGCTGTTGCTTCCTGCTCTTCCTGACCGAGGCACTCTCTTGGACACAGAGTTTGCTAAGTCGAATCAAAATCTGGTAGAGAGAAAGAAATCAGTTTCAGAAAACTAGTAAAATAAGATCTTAGTGGGTGGTAGAGGGCAGGAAGGCAAAGAGGATTGCTATATATGTAAAAACTTAAAACAAGGAAAATTCTCCCAATATACAGTATCTCTGATGTCTGCATCAAACCACATCCGTGTAAGACCAAGAATAAGCAGTGGATGCTACTGTCAATAGTAAATGGGGACAGTTTCAGACAGATAAATAATATTGGTGTGGCGTCACTGCCAAGGACTTGGGAAGTTTGCTCTGGGGTAAAAAGCATAAAGGTATTAACTTCCCAACTTTGAAACATCTGATACAAAGATTTCTAAAGAATTACAGTTCTCACTGATATGCAGCAGGTGCTAAGATGAATCCTTTACAGTTATACCATTCAGTTTGGAAAACTTCAGAAATATGTGGTATTGGTTGCACTTTATAGGTGAGAAAACTGAGGACTCAAATAATAAGTGGCAGAGTTGGGACTCAAAACCCAGATCTGGCACTAAAACCCATGCTCTTAACCTCTGAGCTCTACTTTCTCCTCTTAAACTCAATAGAAGGAAGGGAGGGAAGGAGAAAGGGAGGAAAGATGGAGTGAAGGAGGGGAGGAGGCAAGGAGAGAAAGAGAGATACTAAAGAGAGTAGAAGGAGATAAGAAAAAACATTTGTACTTTCAACTTGATTATCAAAAACTACAGCTCCTTGGAGAATTATTAAAGGAAAAAAGACAATGAGGGAGCGTTTACCTCTTTTACCACTCTGTAGTTGTAGCTGCTAGTGCTTTCATGCTTTTGTGACTTGTTATTCCCCTCCTAGGAACCAAAATGAACATAACTATGTTTTGTAAAACCCTTGGGCTACTTATTGTACTTTGTTAGGGCTAGCACCACCCTTTACAAAACAAAACAACACAAGTTTGCACTGTTTTTCAACAATCATGTTGGATTTATGCCCAATTCATCCACTTGCTCACCCTCAACTCTCTTCTGACTGACAACACTCCACAGATACGGGAAAGGATGGTAGGCCAGGCCAAGGCTTGAGAACAGGCTTTCCCCAAGTAGGTCTCTAAGGAAAAGCTGATGCTAACTCACTGAACGCTAAGTCTGCTACATATGATCCAAGGTGGCATGGGAGACAGAGTTAAACTTTACAGCTTATTTCCTGGGAGACTGGCTGTTACCCCAACCATTTAACAAGATCTCTTAGGAATAAAGCCCAGCCTATAATCTGCATTAACATCTAGCATTATATCTTCATTGGCTTGTTTTGAGGTATCCGCCTATCTATGTTGCAGCAAAATGTGTGCATCACTCACCTCTGTTTTCTTATGCTCATTTTCACCAGATGGGCCATCCATTGCCTCATCTGGGCCCTGTCCTTTGTACACCCAGAGCTCTGACTTTTCCACGATGGATCTCAGCTGATCCAAGTCTTGTTTGATCTGTTTGTAATTGTCCACATCTTGACTGGTAACAAGCAGTTGAACCTTAATGAATGCAATCCATTAGTTGCAAGTGACAGATTCTTTGACAGGTAACACATAACAGTGACAACCTGAGCTACCTGCTTGAAGGCCTGGAGCACCTCCTGCCTCTGGCTGAAGTGCCGGAAGAGCAGCTGCAGGGCCCCTGACACCAGGGGTGGGTAGTCGTGCATCGTCAAATGGAGCAAGACTCGGAGGAAGGTCCTGCCACCATGATCGTCCAAGTCCAAGGGGGTGTTCTCCTCACTAGAAAAATGTGGGAAGAGGAAGGCCAAATGAACCACACAAGCCCTTCTCTTGGTCACCTTGGGCCCAGACAAATCTAAGCCAGTTAGATTTTCAACACTATATCCTACCTGAATTTTAATTAATTTCTTTAACAAGACAATCTGGCTTTATCTTCAACTATATTATGAAGTGAGGAGGCAGTTAAGACGTCACAATTGTCAAATCTTAAATCAATGTGCCTAACCTCCCACAGTGACAAGACTGGCTTTACAATTTGGATCATGAACTCTCAAACTGCTGGCCATCCTGTGTAGTCTGGCAACTGCAAAAAGCTGTGTTTCTCTTGAGTTATCATTTACTTATTTGATTATTAGTTTATTTTTATCAACCAGTTGCCATCAAGCTTAGACTCACAGTGACCCCATGTGTGTCAGAGTAGAACTGTGTTCCATAGGGTCTTTAATGGCTGGGTGTTTTTTTTAAGGAGGGTTTTTTTTTTTTTTTTTAAGTAGATCACCAAACCTTTCTTCTAAGGCATCTCTAGGTAGACTTGAACTACTAACCTCTTGGTTAGCAGTTAAGTGCATTAACCATTTGCACCATCCAGGGACTTCTATTTTTATTCAGGATGTTGTAATCTAATACTTATTAAACTATATGTGGTGAAGGAGGAGCTCTGGTAGCACAGTGCCTAAGGCACTTGACTGCTAACCAGAAGGCTGGTGGTTCAAACCCACCAGCCACTCCTCGGAAGGAAGGTTGGGCAATCTACTTCTGTATTGATACCACCTCGGAAACCCAAGGACAGGTCACTATGAGTTGGGTCCGACTTGATGGCACATAACAACAACAACAACACGTAGTGAAGGAAGTTTATTTTCATTCCGTAGCAGATTGATACTCTTGGTCTGCATCTTTTTCAATGATATCATGTGTTTCATGTCAGGGCAATGTCAAATTATCATAGAAGTATCTGCATGCTTACTCTGATATTCTGCACTTATCTTTTCACAATTTGGTAGCAAATAGCTCAGTCCTGTAAAGCCCAATTTGAGCCCATTATTACTCAGTGTTCTTCAGCACTGAGATTATTTGGGATAATATCAGGACTAGCTCAGTGATAGCATTTCCACATTCCATGCAGAAGACTCAGGTTTAATTCCTGGCCAAGGTGCCTCACACAGAGCCACCAGCTGTCTGGAGGTTTGTGCTAAAATCTGTTCAGCAGCAGCAGACAACAACAGCAGCTCAAAAGCTACAGTATCTTTGTCTTATTTATACAATTCAAAAGTTAATAAGCACATCCTGGATCAAATGGAAGACCATCACTGAGTACTACTCCTCTAATTACTGTGTCAGTGTCCTTATTATGTTTACAATCAAATAAATGTCAAATGGGAAGACCTTAGTGGTTACAGACTAACAAGAAATGCACAGAGAGCATTTATCATGTAAGTACTGTATTCATGCTTCCAAAAGAGAATGCAGTGTGCTATGTAAAGTAGGTTTCCCTGCTGCTGAGTGCGAGGAAATGGTGGCAGGGCTGAATCATCACAACTCACACGGAAGCATCCTCATGCTGAATTCAAAACACCCTGTGTAAGTTTTATCTTCCATCATAATGAATTGGAGTGCTAATTCAAACGTCACAGGTTTTAACAGTTTAACAGACTGCTAACATTGATGGTCCCAGATGAACTGGGTCCTCGCCTTAGTCACACCCTTATGTAGTCCCTCCCATGTTGACACTGGGCTTGGTCATGTGACTTTCTTTGACCAACAGAACATTAGCAAATACAATGAAAGCAGAGGTGTTTTCATATTCTCAGCTTATCCTATTGAAATGTTTGCTCTTGGAGCCAGCTGCCATATTGTAAAGAATGTCAAGCTACCCACATGGAGAAAGAGAGAGGTCCCAGCATTATAGACACCCCCTCCAAGGTTCCAAAAATGTGAATAAAGGTAATTTGGACAGGTCAATCCCAGTCATCTTCTCATTGCAGTGATAGGAGAGACCCCATTGAGACCAGCAGAAGAGCAAGCCAGCTTAGCTGCAGTCAACCCACAGAACTGAGAGAGCAACATGGTTGTAGTTTCAACCTATTAAGTTTTTGGAATAGTATGTTATACAGCAATAGAAAATGAGATCAAATATATAAATTATAAAAGCTATGTTTATAAGTAGTTTAGACCATATCTTATGTTTGTAAGTATGTAAGTCTCATAACAAGAATATTTTAAGTCAACATTGAGCAATCTGATCTTTTTAAAATGGGAGTTCCTACAATATTCTAATATTAGGAACAAGCAAAGAACAGACTGTGCCTGTACAAAGAGCTTCTAAAGAATTCATGGATAAAATTGTAGTCTATTATCAGCAAAAGTACATAATCTTACTAACTTCCCTCTACTTTGAGTCTTGCCCCTACATTCTTAATCTTTCTATTTCTCCATAACTTTCTAAACTCTTATAATATAGTTATCCGGGAAACCTCATCAGATCCTTTCTTTCTTAGGAGGACAAACACACACACACACACACACAAAAAAAAAAAAAAAAAAAAAAATCAGGCCAACCAGACACCAGTAACAAGTATTCAAGAAATCCATGTTGTTGTTGTTATTGTTATGTGCCATTGAGTCGGACCTGACTCATAGCGACCCCTCCTTGGGTTTCCGAGGTGGTATCACTATGCAAGTAGATTAGCCAACCTTCCTCCCGAGGAGTGGCTGGTGGGTTTGAACCACCAGCCTTCTGGTTAGCAGTCAAGTGCCTTAGGGACTATGCTACCAGAGCTCCCAAGAAATCCACAGTCAGCACTAAAACAGCCCAAAGATTAAATCGTTACTAGTATATAGAAGTAAAAACCTTTGAAAACTATGTAAGAGCAGCCTTCTAAACCCCAGACCATCTACAGAACAGTAAATGAAAATATACTTTCCTTCCTCCAAAGATGCCTTCTGCTTGCTCTTCAATGTGTTCAAAGTCGAGAGCACCTGAAAAGTTAAAGAACACACCCTCAGAGGTCTGAAAACACGCTGCTGATAAACTTAACCCAAAATAGCATTGCTCTTGCCCATAAGTTAACCCTTGATCTTCCAGAATTATATATTGCAAAGTTAGGAAGCCAGGTCAACCAGATTATACTATTCAATGGCTCTGCTTTGCAGTGTTCCATACTCTTGCCATTTTTCTACTCACTGCATGACCTCTTGCTAAACTAGAGTGATGGTCTCATTCTAAGGAAGTTTAGGGCCTCATAGGTGTGATTATTTTTACCATCACAATTTTCCTTACCCTTCACCACTATTTCCTGAGCAGGGAGAAACTTCTATCACAAATAAAAGTTGTTAGTGGACCAAAAGTTTTCTTGAGAGGTACCCCCTGTCCTTGCCTCACTTCTTAAATAACCACAACGCTGGAAACCTCAGTTATTTTATGACTAAGGCACTCCGAGATGGAAAGAAACAAGATTTATCCAAAAAGGAATGTGGGTTCTTTCTATTAATCCCCTACCCAAAAAGGATAACTCCTCTTATCTTTTTTTTTAAATACAATGATCCTAAAAAAAAAAAAAAAAAATCCTTACAACCATTCATACCTTATCCCCTATTTCTAGAAGCACTATTCTAAAAGATACTGTCTGGATTCCCAGTTTTCATTAGACTCAGGTCCTCTCCTAGGGCTAAAATCCTGTCCTGAAATCACTAACCTGGTACATTACTTGGCCCTTCTTGGCTGCTACTTCCGGAGGATGTTTCCGAGGTCTGGGAATTGCTTTCATCAAACTCCCGCTTAAATATACACAGGAGGCAGGAGATCCTATAATCCAATCTCACATTCAAAATAAACTAAAGATTCAAGTGGAAATGGAAACAGATTGGTTACATTAACATACCACCTTTAAGCACTTTGCCAAGCCACCGCACTCTGGCTGGGCCTGGTATCAGCTACATCAATTACCTTAAGCACTAAGTGAGCCAAATATTTGACTTAGATGTCAACAGTCACTTTAACAACAGCAGACTTCCATGGGGCCTATCAAGCTGGCCCATAGCACCTTAGCTTCTTAAGTAAACTTCAGCATCTGGGCAATTAATTTAACAACTGGAGGACTAAATCAATCACCACAAGCTCCCCACCCCAAACCTATTTTATTTCAGCAAGTACTGAATGCCAACTCTCGGTCTACCACTGAGAGGGGTAAAGTTAGCTGCTTTTAATGCAGGTGAATTGAGAAAGGAAAACTTGTTTTACTACTGAGAATTACCTTGGTTCATATTTTCTATTTCTGATTGTTTCCTCTGATTTAGCTACTAGCCCTTGGGCTCCCTCTCAATTCACTTTCTATATTCCAGCATTGCCAGCATTGGCTGAGGTACTCAGTGACACTGTCCCTTCCCTGCTGTCCTTATCTCCATCTTGCCCTCTTGGCAACCTTATCCAATCTCAGAGCCATCACTCCTCCCAGGCAGAAACAAGCTACAATAACTACATGAAATTTTAGTATGACTGGAGGGACAAAGCCTTAATGGGGAGGGGTAGGAGATGAGAGTAGGGAGATTAGGAGGGTCAGTTCATAATTGGCACTGAAGGCTGAGCTAAGAATTTTACCCTTATTTTCTTTACAAAAAACCTTGGCGATGTATCTGAGCAGAGAGCGCCTCTTTGAAGCACCCCATCCCAATCTCTGGCTGATGGGTACCTGGAGTATTTCAATGATCTTTAGCTTGGTGTCCATGACCATGATGTCCTCCTTCTCTGGCTCTGCCTGCTTCACATTGCCTTCTGGGGCAGCAGCCATGGGAGTCATGGGCAAAAAGCCTCCTCCACGGAGCACCACTTGAGTCATCAGCTCTCCAACTCCATGAATGGATCTCATCACATTACTGCCTAGATGGGCCGGGGACAAACTAAGGTCACAACAACATTCAGAAAGTGCTTTCAGGTGCCTGGCAAGGGGTACAAACAGTTTTAGACAGATTATTTAACATGTCCCTGTTCAGATACACACTCAAAACCTAGGAACCTGAAAAGGTTAATACCCATAACTATTTTGGGCTTCTGGGAGGAGTGAAAAGAACATGGGCTTTGAACTCCCCAACAGAGCATTTCTGCATAATATCTCACCTGCCAAATTTTATTGATCATTTACTACAGGTTTGTTACTATGCCCATAAGTAGAGAATAGTAACAGTTAACAGGGCACAAACCCAGTGCTACCACCAATTGCTGCTTGACATTGGGTACATTGTATTACCTCTGAGGTAATATAATGTCAGTTTCCTCATTTATAAAACAAGTATTAAGGAGCTCAACAACATGATTAAATGGAGTAACGCATTCAAAATGACTTAATGTAGGACCTAGTAAATAATGGGAGGCCAGTAAACGTACACTCAATCCTCATTATTCACAGATTCCGTACTTGTGAATTCATGTACTTGTTAAAATTTACCTGCAACCTCAAAATCAATACTTGCAACACCTTCATTGTTATTTGCAGAATGGCAAAAAATTTTAGTCACCTGATATGCACGTTCCCAGCTTAGGCCAAACAGGGAGACACTCTCACTTCTTGTTTCAGCTCTCCCAGGGTAAACAAGTATATTATTTGTGATGAATTTAGTGACATATTTTTTATCTAGGTTTTACAGGTGATTTTGTGGTTTAAAATGTCCTGAAATGCAGTGCTAAAATGCTGTCTAGTATTCCTAAGCACAAGAAGGCTATGATGTGCCTTATGGAGAAAATATGTGTGGTACACAAGCTTTGGTCAGGCCTGAGTTATAATGCTGTTGGCCATGAGTTTAATGTTAATGAGTCAAAAATATTTATTAAATAAGATGTCTTTAAAAAGAAACACACAAGAAACAAGGTTATATATTGGTTGGTGGACAAAGTTATGATCAGAGGCTCACAGGAACCAAACCTTGGATTTCCCCTAGGAACAAGGTGGAGTACCTGTCAACTCAGTGTTTGCAGTGACTTTACAGAACATAACTATTGCAAATAACGAGAAATGACTGTACTTTTTTTTTTCTAGCTGCAGAAGACTACTTAAACACCAATCAATACATGAAAGCTAATATGTGCCCTTTGACTCCAAAAAGTAAATAAATAAAAACAAACATATAATGTCACATTTTTCTATTTATAAGGAATTCAAAGAGTGGAAATGGAATAACCACATACAAGCCTGGGTTTTACCCTATAAAAACTAACATTCTAGGGCCTCAGGGCACGTCAAGAACAAAACATATGCACTTTTAAGAGATTTTTAACAGTCAAAAAAGGTAACTTTTAGACGTTTAGGTGCTGTCGAGTTGGACCCAATTCATACCAATCCTATGTACGACAGAATAAAACATTGCCCAGTTCTGTATCATTTTCACAATTGTTGCTATGCTTGAGTCCACTGTTACAGCCTGTGCTGGTTAAGTTTGTGTGTTAACTTGGCTGGGACTGGTTGAGTGGCTGGGCAGCTGCATCTAGTATTCCCCATGATGACAATGATAATCAACTCCATAGCGGAATCTACTGTGAGCAGCTGAGTAGCTGCCTTAGGGATGTGGTCTGCTTCCTGTATATAAGGAGAAGCCTTGGGGAACGGTCTCCAGCTTATGGCATGCTTGAACCCTGCATTTAGCCAAGCTGTTGTTCAGCAGCCTGCCATGCTCTGCCAATCCTGGGACTTTCAATGGACTTGAATCAATGGCCTGCTGTGTGGTTTGGTAACATCAGGACTGTGCCTTTTTATTTGTCAACCTTGGGCTTGTTAGCCTCAGCAGCTGGTAGCTGCCTGAGTGAAGAGATGTCTCTCGCTTCAGTGGGCCAGGAGCAAGAGGCTGAGCTGAAGCCCAAGGTTGAGGGGCTTTCACCCAGCTCCTAGAGCCTGGCACTTTTAACTCAGACTTTAGCCTCCCAAGCTGTAAGAGAATAAACTCCTGTTTGTTCAAGCCATTCCTATTTGTGGTATACACCAGTCAGAGCAGCACTAGATAAGCAAAACATAGGCAATGTGTCAATTCATCTTGTTGAGGGTCTTCCTCGTTTTGCTGACCCTCTAGTTTACCGAAACTTCTTCTCTAGGGATTGGTCCCTCCTGATAATATGACAAAAGTACAAAAGATTAAGTCTGGCCATTCTTGCTTCCAAAGAGCATTCTGGTTGTACTTCTTCCAAGACAGATTTACTCATTATTTTGGCAGTCCACAGTATATTCAATATTCTTGTCAACACCATAATTAAAATGCATAAATTCTTCTGCAGTCTTCTTTATTCATCATCCAGATTTCACATGAAAGTACCATGGATTACATCAGGCACACCTGAGTCTTCAAAGTGACATCTTTGCTTTTTTAACACTTTAAAGAGGTCTTCTGCAGCAGATCTGCCCAGTGCAATACGTCATTTGATTTCTTAACTGCTACTTCCATGGGCATGGATTGTGGATCCAAGCAAAATGGAATCCTTGACAACTTCAATCATGATAAATAATAAATGGAGAAAAGATTAAAGCTGGCAACTTCCAAATATTTCAGAAAAACATATAAATACACACAAACACTCAAACATAAATATAATATACAAACAGACTTTAATAGGTAAAGGAAATAAAGAAAAATGTTTGTAATCATTGAATCTAAGTTATAGGATTATGGGTATCCACTGTACTATCCTTTTGCCTTTTCCTTATATTTGAAAATGTTCGTTATGAAAATTTAGGAAAAGAACAAGAAAGGATCACATGGTAAAATATGGCAAGAGTAGGAGAAACAGGAGAGGGTGGAGGTATCTCTTGGATGGATGGGTAACCATCATATCAACATTCTTTACCATCTCCATATCATTCTTACCTTTATTCTCTTCTCCTTTAGCCATCTTGCTAATGGGGAAGATAGTTGTCACATGAACACAGTCTAATATGGCCAGAAGAATCTTGGTTAATCGTAGGAGGTCAGAGAAGTTGTAGAAACCAAAGTATATCAGATTTCTCGCTAAATTTACAACCTATTGTATTAAAAAAAAAAAAAAAGATGGTTTTAAACAAACTATCCTTTACTTCCATTTGATGTTGGCTAATATGTAAATGACTGATTTTGACTGCTAACCAGAAGGCTGGTGGTTCAAACCCACCAGCCACTCTTCGGAAGGAAGGTTGGGCAATCTACTTCCACAGTGATACTGCCTCAGAAACCCAAGGAGGGGTCGCTATGAGTTGGATCCGACTCAATGGCAGTGAGTTTGGTTTTTAGTTTTTTTATGGTAAAAAAAGGAGCCCTGGTGGTGTAGCCTAAGGCATTTGACTCTTAACCAGAAGGTTGGTGGTTCAAACCAACCAGCCACTCTGCAGAAGAAAGACTGGGCAATCTACTTCTGTGAAGATTTACTGTCTCAGAAACCCAAAAGGGGATCGCTATGAGCTGGAATCGACTTGACAGCCATGAGTTTGGTTTGGTTTTAGGAGCTCTGATAGCATAGTGCCACAGGCATCTGAGTGCTAACCAGAAGGTTGGCAGTTCAAACCCACCAGCCACTCTGCAGAAGAAAGGCTGGGCAATCTACTTCCATAAAGATTTACCGCCTTGGAAACCCAGTGGGGGTTGCTATGTGTCTGAATCAACTCAACAGCAGTGGGTTTAGTTTTTTTGGTTTTATGGTAAAAGATGGGTTGATTGTGGTAGTTAAGGTTGTTGTCAACTTGGCTGGGCCTGGTTGAGTGGCTGGGCAGCTAGAGGTAGTTATTCCTCATGATGGGACTGGAAATCAACTCCATGGTAGAATCTGCCACGAGCAGCTGAGTAGCTGCTTTCAGGATGTGGTCTGCTTCCCGTATATATGGAGAAGCTTTGGGACTGGTTTCTAGCCTTCTGGCACACTTGAACCGTGCATGTAGCCAAGTCGTTGTTCAATAGCCTGCCATGCCCTGCTGATCTTCAGACTTGAATTAGTAGCCTGCCAATGTTGTTTGGTAACATCAGGACTGTGCCTTTTTACTTGTCAACCTTGGGCTTGTCAGTTTCAGCAGCCAGCAGCTGTCTGAGTAAAGAAAAGCCTCCAGTTTCAGTAGACCAGGAGCAGGAGTCAGAGCTGAAGCCCAAGGTCAAGGGGCTTTCATCTAACCCCTAGATCCTGGCACTTTGAACTTGGACTTAAAGCCTCCAAAACTGTAAGAGAATAAACTCTTGTTTGTTCAAGGCATTCCATTTGTGGTATGTTCCTGTCAGAACAGCACTAGGTAACCAGAACAGTGATCTACTTCCATAAAGATTTACAACCTCAGAAACCCTATGGGGGTTGCTGTGAGTTGGAATTGACATGATGGCAGTGAGTTTGGCTTTTTTTTTTTTAATGATAAAAGAAATCATAGAATTTTTTTTAAAGAGAAGTCATTTGCTTATAATTTCTGACAAAATTTCAGTTTGTTTTTATCAGGAGGAAAAATAAGGAGTGAAAGCCTGCAAATCTCCTGATCTGACTTAATGACTCAAATCAAACCAAACTCACTGCCATCAAGTCAATTCTGACTCATACTGACTCCCATTGGGTTTCCAAGGCTGTAAATCTTTATGGAAGCAGACTGCCTCATCTTTCTCCTGTGGAGCAACTGGTGGGCTCAAACCACTGATCTTTTGGTTGGTGGCCAAGTGCCTTAACCACTACACCACCAGAGCTCCCTGATTAGATGACTAGTTAATAATAATAATAAAAAAATAAAACTGACCTAATCATTTGGTCTATGTAATTTCTCAAATTAACACTTGGCGAGTCGAATTATGCCCAACAAGATAATAAAACTCTCCTAATAATTACATAATATTAGCAGAGAAGAAGCACTGTAATCCTTGGAAAGCAAAAAACTCCAAAGAAAAGCAACCAAACACCAAAAAAGCAAAAGTGATCTGAAAGAGAAAACACTTTGACTCAAAGGGAATAAGGATTTATGTTCCTCAAATGATTAAGTGGTTGTGGTAGTTAAGTTTGTGTGTCAACTTGGCTGGGCCTGACTGAGTGGCTGGGCAGCTGAATGTAGTTATTTCCCATGATGAGACTGGTAATCAACTCCATGGTGGGATCTACCACAAGCAGCTAAGTAGCTATCTTTGTGATGTGGTCTGCTTCCCGTATATAAGAAGCCTTGGGCAACGGTCTCTAGCTTAGGGCATGCTTGGACCCTACATGTAGCCATGTTGTTGTTCGGCAGCCTGCCATGCTCTGCCAACCTTGGGACTATCAATGGAGTTGAATTAATGGCCTGCCATGTGGTTTGGTAACATCGGGACTATGCCTTTTTACTTGTCAACCTTGGGCTTGTCAGTCTCAGCAGCCAGCAGCTGTCTGAGTAAAGAAAAGCCTCTAGCTTCAGTGGGCTGGAACAGGAGGCAGAGCTGAAGCCCAAGGTTAAAGGGTTTTCACCCAGCCCCTAGAGCTTGACACTTTGAACTCAGACTTAAAGGCTCCAAACTGTAAGAGAATAAACTCCTGTTTGTTAAAGCCATCTCATTTGTGGTATATTCTTGTCAGAGCAGTACTAGGTAACCAGAACAGTGGTGGACTCAATCCCAAGCACATCTGTTTCTTTGCTGTCATTTTCAACATAAAGTTCAAAGAATACATAAGAGGTTCTATCATTTTACATGCACTAATTCATCATACATATTTGTTCTAAGAGCACATGCACTATTAGGTCAAGTGGCTGATATCAGTTCTATCTTTTATTATAGAACAAAGCTGAGCTGGATTCCTTATTATTAAAAAGTAAAAGCATTGTGATCAAAATCACTGTGTATTAAAATATTTTCTATATACCTCATAGTAAAATGATCACTGAAAATCAGATAAAACACACAGATCATTGCATAATGAGTTACCTCAAATGTGAGCTTATTTTTCTCCTTATCAGAGAAAGGAAACCTCTGGCAAACCACATCTCTTAAATATTCCTCCACAAATTCCATGGTCTGTGCAAACCTCTCCTTGATTTCATCTTTGGAAGTTCCACTATTATCGTAGCTAAAAGAAAAGGAGGAAGAAGTCAAGTTCTTCTCAGTGAAACCTTTCCTGGTTGTTCAACCTCAAAATTCAATACTCCCTTCCTCCCCGGTACTTCCTATCCATGATCCTACTTTATTTTCCTTTGCTTAGCACACATCTCCATCATATATACTTTACACATTTATCTTGCTTTTTGTCTCTCTTCCCCTACTACTAAAGGATTGTGTCTATATATTCTGATTCCTAATGTAATCCTTGAACCATACACACAACAAACCAAAAAAAGAAACTCACTGCCCTTGAGTCAATTCATACACATAATAGACACTTAAATATTTGTTGAATGAAGAGAGAAAATTAGATGTCAGAATACCGTCATGAGGACAAATGTGTCTTATTTTTACCAAAAAAATTTTTAATGGAAATATAATCATGCCATCTTTTACATTCTTAAGAAATATTTGCCATCCATGTACTGAAACTCTTATTTTGATTTTAAAGAAAAAATAACTTCATTTTTCCTCAGCCCATATCTAGATTTAAGTGAACCATATATGACAATATATTATTTATATATTGCTGCACAGAACATTATAAATAAGGTTTTAAAAAATGACACAAAGGAGGCTTGGTGGCACAGTGGGTAAGGGCTCAATTGCTGGGTAACGGCTCAATTGCTAACCAAAAAGCAGTGGTTGGAACCCACCGGTGTGGAAGAAAAGATCTGGTGATCTGCTCCCATAAAGATTACAGCCTAGAAAACCCTATAAGGCAGTTCTACTCTATTGTATAATGTCGCTATGACTCAGAATCAACCTGACAGCACAAAACAACAAAGTGACATGAGGTCTTGGCAGTGAGAGGAAGCAAGGCTCACTCATCGATGGCGATCTCAGAGGGAATCTCCGACCAGAGGCGGGCGTATTTCACAGGAGTGACTTGTTCCTGGGGATCTCGGTCCACGTGCATATGAAGCATGAGTCGGCAGAAGGATGCCCGCAGGTCATAGGGCAGGTTCTCATCAGACATGCAGCGGAGAATGAGATCCACGTCCAGCTGGCCTGATATTTCATTGATGGCCAGGTACTGGCGGTCCAGACACATCCTGGCAAAGAGGTTCAGCTGATACCTGGAGAAAAGAAAAGCTCCATTAGGCTTATTTGCCCAGGAGTCATCCAGGAAGAATGGAAACATAAAGTAGGCTAATCCAGTGCCCCCAACTTCACAAGAATGGTATTTGGCCATCTGAACATAATGTCAATCCCTCCAAGCTGCTTTTGTACACCAAATTTTGTTTTTTGTGCCAAGCTGATAAAGGAACATTTCAAGCTATCCCATAGAGTATAGGTCAGTCAACAGTCACACACATCTATCTAACTGTTGTAGTGTTGGAATAGTTATGAGACTACTGAATAGATTCTGTCCTTAGTTAACTTATAAAATACATGGGGAAAAAATGGTCAGGTCTAAGGTGGCTACCTACTTTTTCAGTTGGGTTTTTAGATAGTAAATTAAAGATCATGTAGGGAATGTTAAAGATAATGTCGATACTGAGTCTAATTAGAAATTGTGTAATATTTTTGAGATCTTATGTAAGTCTACACTTTGGCTCATGCACACATGATGTCTAAAAGTAGAGGACTCCTCAAAATGTCTTAGACTTTCTTACTTATACAATTACATGTGACCTTTTGTTAACTTTCAACCTTCACCATTTGAGGGACTTTATCTGATCCACTCTTGGGAGAAGATTTATCAAAGTTTTAAAGAGTAAACATACTGGCAGTAGGAAATAATAAGAAAGTCATAAGCTTCTGAATTGTCAAATATTGGCTTCTGGATTCAAAACCAGAATTGGAATGTATTAACAATTTATTTAGATTACCAATAACCATGATTTGCAAATATTCTCAGCCTTACTAGATACCAGTGAAATGATAATTAAAACATGATTCTATTTCACACTTACAAGATTAACAAAAATTAAAAAGGCATCACAATATTCAAAGTTAGCAAAGACATGGAGAAACAAAAGTTCTCATCTATGACCAGTGGGAGTAAAGAGCCAATTTAGGATAGCTCAGCAAAGTTTAAAATATATACATCCTCTAATCTCAAAATTCCATTCCTGATATGAAATGGAAAATCTTCCACATCTGCACAGACAAATTTGAACAAGGACATTCCCTGGTATGAAAAACTAAATTGTAGTAAGGAATGTATCAGATAGCAATGAAAACATAGTACATTAATATAATGGAGTATCACTCAGCAGTTAAAATGAAAGAAGTCAATCTACGTTGGTGAACATGGATTCATTTCAGAACAATACTGAATAAACAAGGCAAGTCGCAGAGCTATGAACACTGTGGTACCACTCACAGAAAATTTTAAAAGCAGATAAAATATTATGTTATTTATGCAAGGATGCAAACAAACGCAGTAGAATATGCAATGTATGGAAGGATACACATTACATGCATGAGTGGGAGAGAACAGAATATGGGAGGTTAGAAAGGCTATTTATTTTATTTAAAAACACTGGAAGCATTCTTCATCTTCCATTCCCTTTTCTTTCTGTTATTTATTGGTTTTCTTCCTTTCTTTTCTTTTCCCCTTCCTGTCCTTATGGCAAAAAGGCCAACAGGCCTTACAACTGGACCCAAGGAGACACTGGAGATGGAGGAGGTACACATCAGTTACAGTGGGGATGAGCAAACAGGTAAACATACTGTGTGATGGCAGCCAGGTTGCTCATTGTCAGAAAACGGAGTTACGAATCTGAGAAGTAAAAACTAGAGAACAGGGAGCCCTGGTGGTGCCATGGTTAAAGCACTCAACCAGCTAACCAGAAGGTCTTTGATTCAAACCTACTAACCACTTTGTGAGAGAAAGATGTGGCAATCTGTTACCATAAAGATTACAGCCTCAGAAACCCTATGGGGCAGTTCTATGCTGTTCTATAGGATCACTATCAGTCAGAATCAACTCGATGGTAGTGGACTTGGCTTGGTTTTAAAGACCAGAATAAACCTTATGATGTTAGAATAGAATTGCAAATACTGTGTAAACTCATAGTTTTTATCATATATTTGTATAGATAGATATATATGTGTGTGTGCGTACGTGAAGAGAGAAAGAAGTATAGAAATATGTTGAGTTGATTCTGACTCACAGGGACACCATAGGACAGAGTAGAACTGTCCCATAGTGTTTCTAGGCTGCAATATTTATGGGAGCATATCACCAGGTCTTTTCTCCTGAGGGGCCAATGGTGGTTCTGAATAGTTGATCTTTTGTTTAGAAGCCAAGCACTTAACCATTGCACCACCAAGGCTCCATATGGAAATAGAGATACATGTATGTGTACACATGCACACATACATTTCCTAGCTCTGTCTGCAAAAGTTTTGAGGTTGGCACTATCATCACTGTTTTCCAAATATAGCAACTGAAGCGTAAAGAAGTATGTATCTTGACTTAAGTCAAAATGCTAATAAGTAGTGAGGTTAGGATTTGAACCCTGGCAGTCTGACCCCACAGTCTGACTCTTACCTACTACATGTGTATGTGCCATGCTTTTTAGGGCTAAACTGTAATTCAGAGCTGATGCAAGCATTCATCCTTTGACAAAATCACATCTAGATAGCAATTTATTCTCTCAGTATCAATGAAGTTCTCCTAAACTTTGTTGTTGTTGTTATGTGCTGTTGAGTCAGCCCCGAATCACAGTGCCCCCTCCTTGGGTTGCTGAGGCAGTATCACTACAGAAGTAGATTGCCCAACCTTTCTACCGAGGAGTGGCTGATGGGTTTGAACCGCCAGCCTTCTGGTTAGCAGTTGCAAAAACGGCAAGGAGGCCACATGTTCTGACCTCCTCTAATCTCACAAGAGGAAGACAGGATTACCAGCAGTAACCCAAGGCCTATTACTGCAAGGCCAAACATGCTGCCTCCCTCCAGCCCTTTCACCAACCGTTCCTCCCAAAGCACCCACCACCTCTCTCCTGGGTTCGATAATTCGCTGCAGTGGCCACACAGAACTCACAGATTACAGGGTTTATTAGGGAAGCACCAGGCTACAACTCAAGTTCAGGAAGAACGCTCAGTCTCTCTCCCAGCCCACCGTCCCTCAGCCAAGAGTCTCTCACAGTCTCTTTCCCAGCAGTGCTGGTCCCTCGCTGTCTCACTCAGCAATGCGTGTCTCTTGCGTCTCTTTCCCAGCAACGCGTGTTTCAGGAGCCCGTGTCTCTTTCAGCAGCACGTCTTCCTCAACCAGCAGTCAGAGAGAGTTCTGCCTCCAGGAGGCCTCCTTTTTGAGCCCAGCAGGGTGGTCAAACTAGCCAATTATAGCATCAGAACTCTAAGCACCTGAGAGAGTGGGCACCTCCCAGAACATTGTTTTGTGCCACTCCCAACAGAAATACTCCAGGTGGACACCTTCAGCAATCAGGAGCTCCTCAGTTGCTCATAGCAAATCCCACCTTGGAGTTTACAAAGACTTATGGGTAGAAAAGCCACACAAAGTAATTTACTATACCACAGCAGTCAAGTGCCTTAGGCACTATGCTACCAGAGCTCCTAAACTTTAAACTTCTAAAATATATACCTGCTTTTTGCCAGAAAATCTTCTCAGATGATCCTTCTACTTCCAAAATGCCACCCTTTGGAGCACCCAAGTCCAGCCCAACATGCAACTCCCAGTCACCTGTAGTAGCTGAGAACATCTCGGTCTTCCTTCTGTCCTTCTTTAGCGTCCTGTGCCAGTTCCCTGACACTCTTACTACGAATCTCTTTGTTGCTGTCCCTCCAAAACAGCCACACCTCTTCCTCATCCTCTCCTGCCTCCAGAGCATTCTCCCCAGTAGAAACACCTTCAAATTCAAAACGAGAAAGAACCAACCTGGGAAATAAGAGGAGGATAGAAAATGCATTACTTTTGAGATCCTTGCTAATCTTTGATTAACTACAGCAATGTAATGGAGTCTAGCTTCATTTTCAGTGTAAAGACACATGGAAAACCATTTTGGTTTGTGTTTCTCCCACAGAAAGAGCTGCAAAAAGCCTAACATTAATTTCTTTGTGTATAGTAGCCCAGTAGTTCTCAACCAATGGGCAATTTTGGCCTCCTTGACAACATATTTCGCAATGTCTGGAGACATTTGGTTTGTCACAACTGGGGACAGGGGAAAGTACTCCTGGCATCTATTAAGCAGAGGCCAGAGATGCTGTTAAATATCCCATAATGCACAGGAGAGTCCCCCAAAACACAGAATTATTCAGCCAAATAATGTTAACAGTGCCAAGATGAAGACACCTGCATCAGCTCAAGCTCAAAATTAACTTACATGTGAGAAAAAATATAATACTAGTCTAGAGCATAATTTAGTTTTTTGTTTTTTAAACACTGCCCATATTACTGGCACTATACTTTACTCAGGAAAACTGCTCCATTGCTAAAAGAATGACTACTATTATGAAATTTCTGTAGATGGAAGAACACTTTTTAACAGTGATCATTTAAAAAGGTCTTCATTATAATGGCTTAATATCGCCATTGAATATGAAATACTTCCTTTAAAACGTAAAAATGATCATCATACTAACAGAATTCTAAACTCTTAAAATTAAGTGTGTGTAAAATGATACTAGGAGTTCACATTAATTCTTTTAATTTTATAGTAATATTTTAAATTATTAATCGTTATTGAGGAATAATTCACATAAATATCTTCACCAATTTTAACGGATACTCTGATGATTTTCCCCCAATTCTTCCGTCACCGCACCCCACAATCTCCTAAGTGACACCATTATGCAGAGGAAGGAACTAAAGAAAACTTAATAATCCCCTAAGACCTTTCTAAAAGCAAGATAAAATGCCAACAATCTGACTTTGGACTGACTCTGGAGAAACTGAGGCGTTATATGTTATTACTCACAAGCACACAGGCATCCACTGAACCACACCATTTTCCATCTAAATTCCTTCCTCGATTTTATCCCCCTACTCACTTGGTCTCAATCAGGATATCGGCATTGGTTGGATTCAGCACAGCTTTACATATCAGTTCCTGGGTTACAGGAATTGATTTGTTCATTGAGACACAGAGGTCAGAGAGGTAATCTAGGAATCTATCGAGAAACAGAAACAAAAGAAAACATTGCCTTTAGATACACCAGAGGAAAATGTATGATGTCAGAGAGCCATCCTGAGGATTAAATGAGAAAATTCATGTAAAGTGCTTAGTTCACTACTTGGTTAAATGCTCCATGAAATGTTAGTTATTTTTATGGGTGGTAATAGTAATTTTTGTTAAAACACTAATCGGTCTCCAGTATGGCTGTTCATAATACCTATATTGTAATTATTGCCTTCTATGTCACCTGAGGGAGCTCTGGTAGTGTAGTGCCTAAGGCATTTGACTACTAACCAGAAGGCTGGTGGTTCAAACCCAACAGCCACTCCTTGGAAGGAAGGTGGGACAATCTACTTCTGTAGTGATACCGGATAACAACAACAAATGTCACCTGAAACTATGGAACTTACTTTGAAGGAGCAGTAGAAAGGACATGGGGGAGGAGTGGGGAGATCTGGTGTTAATGAAATAGAATTCACCAATGTATAGCAAAAACACTCAACTAACAACTTAGTTTGCAAAAGATACTACTCCCTTACCTGAGATAAATCTAATGTCACAGAAGATGGGGGAAGGGTTCTAACTGATAATCAGGAGGTGCTGAAGTGCAAACAATTATTATCTATCGAACATCTACAGAGTGTCAGACACTTCACTTGTATTTATTCTCATTTAATATTCACAAATACCTATTTGACACATGAGAAAACAAAACCTAGAAAAAAGGCCATAATCACCCAGTTGGTAAATGTTACAGCTAACATTCCACCCAAGGGCTCATTCTAATACCATGTTCTTTCTATTCCATATCAAAAAGTCTATCAAGACCTGCCCAGCCAAAATCTGCCACTGTTGTTGTTGTTGTTATGTGCCGTCGAGTCAAACCTGACTCATAGCGACCCCTCCTTGGGTTTCCGAGGCAGTATCACTACGGAAGTAGGATTGCCCAACCTTCCTTCCGAGGAGTGGCTGGTGGGTTTGAACCACCAGCCGTCTGGTTAGCAGGCAAGTGTCTTAGCCACTATGCTACCAGAGCTCTAGCACAAGTCACCATGACCTGCATCTTAAATGTGTCGATATCTTCCCCCTGTTCCCAACTCCACCTCACCTGGGCTCCCTGTTCTTCCGCACCAGACTAACAAACGTGTCAATCTCCGCTGCGGTGATGTGCTTCTCCAGGAGTTTTCGGTTATTGTGGAGCAGGGCGGTGATGGTGTCTTCTGCCAACACGTCATAACCAATCTGTTTCTGCATGAAGCCAAACTGCTTGGCTATATATTCCTTTTAGGGAGAGGAAGGAGAAGTCAGCAAGAAGGTCAGAAGATAACTGTGGTTAAGTTTAATATAAGGAAAATGGTTAACAGTCCCTGATGACGACTACCAGCCACAAGGGAAACTGCAGTGAAGCATCTTTCCCACAACTTCCCATAACCCTAAAGCAACAGTGCGAACTCCCTCACATCCTTGATTTTACTAAACCTGCCACACAAATATCATTAAGCAAAATATGGGTATTTTATTAAGTCACAGTATAAATTTTAATCAGTGTCTCATTTTGTAGAAGGTCAAAAACTGTTTTTCAGCTTGGAATTTATTACTAATTCAAAAGGACTTAACTGTGCCCCATTGCTCTGGGCTGTTGAATAAACACCAATTAAGCCTACCTAGATATTTAGAACAAAGCTACTTCATTTCATTTTCTTTATCTGGTATAAAACTGTATTTAAAAAAATCAATAGGTAGCAGAAGAAAGTAAGGACTGTTGTTGTTGTTGTTGTATATGCCGTTGAGTCGGCCCTGACTCATAACGACCCCTCCTTGGGTTTCCGAGGCAGTATCACTACGGAAGTAGGATTGCCCAACCTTCCTTCTGAGGAGTGGCTGGTGGGTTTGAACCGCCAGCCTTCTGGTTAGCGGCCAAGTGCCTTAGGCACTATACTACCAGAGCTCCTGAAAGTAAGGACTATCCAAGCTAATTAATTATGTTAATGGAACATGTGGATACACCTTGCCCCTTCCTTTCTTTTGGGATCAGGTATCGCAGTTTATGGATATATTTTTCAATTCAAGGCAGCCTCTTACTGATAGTTGTTTCTATTCAAAGATATTTCCCTATCAAAGAAAGAGTGTTAGCTTCTCAAAGTTCAAATGGCCCTTGAAACTTGATTTTTCTTTTTTTAAAAATCATTCCCCAAATCCTGTTAACTACTGAGGATTAACACTGTGAACATGGATTACTTTTTGGTCTACGCTCTCTAGGGGCACATGTTTGGGAATTAAATCACCCTTCAGGGATTACTGCCAACTAGCAAAGGATCCATAAACAGCAAAACAAAGATGACCAATCCAGCAGTAGTAAGAGAGACTGGTTTAGTTTCCTCATGGACCAGCAAAATGTCCTAGCATATATTACAGGTTCTGATGTATCCTCATCTGAAGATAGAAGAGAGGGGCAAAACAAAATCTGTGTGGGACTATTTGACGAAGGCATTGATGTGCTGCAGGTGAATTTAAAGTAACCACAGTCCCCAAAGTCAACCAATCTGAATAATGAAATTTAGACCCAGTAGCATCATACATAAGGAACCCTGGTAGTGCAAGCGTTAACTGCTTGGCTGCTAGCCAAGAGGTCTGTGTTTTGAACCAACCAGCCACTCTGTGGAAGAAAGACGTGGCAGTCTGCTTTTGGCAAGATTTACAGCCTTGGAAATCCCATAGGGCAGTTCTACTGTATCTTACAGGGTTACTATGAGTAGGAATTGACTCAGTGGCCAAAATTTTGTTTTTTTCTGTTAGCATCACACAAAAACTATACTTGGCATAGTGTGGATAAGGCATTTGGCTACTAACCAGAAGGTCAGCACTTCAAACCCACCAGCCTCTCCGCAGAAAAAAGATAGGGCAGCTACTTCCATAAAGATTTACAGGCTCAGAAACCCAAAGGTGATTGCTGTGAGTTGGAACCGATTTGATGGCAGTGAGTTTTTTTGTTTAGTATATAAACAATAACAAAGGCAAAGACAGGGGGTTAGAAGCATTGCTGCACATGTAATATCAACTTCAGAAAAAGGACATGATTTCAAAGAAACAAATATCAGTATCTTCTTGTCCAGAGCAAAAAAGAAATCCAAGACTCAGAGAAGCAACTATAGGACGAACAGTCTACATGACCCATGGCCTCATCTACCCTGGGAACAGAAGAACTAGATGGTACTTGGCTACCACTAACTGTTTTGATCAGGGCCTCCCTCAATAGACAGATCCTGATAGAAAGGGAGAAAAGTATAGAAGAGAACTGGAATCTTAAAAAGCCAGACTTACTAGACCAGGTGAGATTAAAGGACTCCCCAAGACTATCACCCTGAGAAAATTCATAAAACCCTGAACTGACACTACATCTTGAGGTGATCTTTTAACTAAGTAACAGACTGGCTCATAAAATAAAGAATATTACCAGTGAGTACTGTATACCTTTAAAAAATCATCTACAAGAGACCAAATGGTCAATAATTTCTCTGAAGGAAAGATGAAAGGGAGAGGGCTCAGGGAAACCAGATTACTGGAAATGAACCACCCGGAACAGAATCAATGAATGTTGACACATTATAGAAAATGTAACTAATGTCACTGAACAATTTATGTAGTAACTTTTAAATGGGAGCCTGATCTTCTATGTAAACTTTCACCAAAAACAATAAAAAATTACTTAAAGAAAAAAACAATGATTGATGTAAGTGGTATCAATGAATTGCACATGTAAAAGATGTCAAATAGGCAAATGTTATGCTATCTGTATTTTTATAACAATTTTTTAAAAAATAATCTCATGGAAAGATGATGGCAGAAGAGGAATCCTTGGGTACCCTTTTGAGGACTCCGTAATTCTTCCAGTGTTACAAACAATCTGTGTTTCCTTCAAAAGAACAAATTTAACATGACTATTCTTTATCCTTTAAATGAACATATATGGGACATTTAAGATTCATGAGAAAAGTGCATGAACTTCAGGGAGGAAACTACAATCACTTTCTATTAATCTTTAATCCCAACCTGATTCTTCCTGTAGTCTTGCTGTGAGTGTCTCAGGACCCTGTAACACAGCCGGCAGATATGTCGGAAAGGGGCATGCCGCTGGTCCCCAAGCTCCTCCAGACGAAGCATAGGGCCATCCCCACAGTCTGTGAATGGGGCCTGTAGCAACTTGAAGATCTGTTTGTGAAAATAAACAGCAAAAACTACCATCATCTAGTGTTTAAAAGGCTTCTTTCCTTTCTGTCTGGAAGTAACATAACCTCCAATTTTGAAAGTCTCATGAACTGGAAACCATTCGGTTGCCAGAGTCTGAGTACACCTGGACCTCACTGGGCCTCAGACATTTGATGATCCAGTGTTTAGAACAGTGATTAAGAGCTCAGATTCTGGAGCCAGAAGATTCTAGGTTGAAATCATACTGCTCCATTAATTCCTAGGTGTATAGATCATGGCCAAGGTAAACTTCAGTGTGGTTCATATAAAATGTAAGGAATCAATATCTAGCTCCTAAGAGTGGCAAAAGGACAGAATTAGACAATAATTGTAATTTGCATAAGTAGAGCACTTGATATAAGTGCTTAATGAAGGCTCTAGTCATTGAGCCACATTATTTTGGCCCCTCAAGGAATTACTATTGTGGAAATGAGTTTTGAGTCTAATTTGGGGATCATCGTATGGAACAGCTAAACATATTTTATTCTTAGACTTGAAGTCATTGTTGAACATGATGGAGTGTTAATAAACTTTATTGTAAACCAAGAGAAAGGCTTTCTACATTCCAAGTTCTAATGGAAAGCTCTAAGTCTTGTAACTACTTGTTTTCCTTTTTAGCTTTGGTAGCCAGGGACTTGTAAGCCAGGCTTGTGGCCCAATTTCCAACAACTTTGGAAAACTATACATGATATACATTTTTGTGCATTAAATCTACCCTGGTCTTTTAATTTCCCTGGCTTTAATTTATCTTGACACTAGTTTATTTAAATTTAAACCAAGTAATACCGTCTATGTATTTTCTGTAAAACACTACTTATTCTTTGTGGAATGATTTTGGGGTGATATTTAGGGGTCCCTGTAACAGCATATATAAGACTTCTTAGTTGATCAAATACCCCAAGTGTCAAGATATATAAAAGACACATTTCACTTCATCTAGTTTTAAGAAAAATAAAGTCAACTGACATCTTCTTGGAGTTGCTAACAGGTGAACTCCCATATTGTACATATTCAACAAGATTGTTCAAGATAAACTGAACCAGCCTTCCAGATGGGAACAGTTCATTCTCTTTATATGAGTGGGGATCCAATCGACTCCATAGAAAGCCAACTCACCAAACTGTCACATCTCACCAACCTGCTTGAGAATATTCTGTTCTCTCATCAGCTTTTGTCTTTCTCTGTTGGGCTTGGAAAAGACCACTTCCAGCACATCTTGACCTGAGTTAGTTCCACCAGTGACAAAGTAAACCAAGTCTTCCAGCAGCTTGGTTACAGACCTTAGGGAGGAATAAGCTATTAGAGATGTTAAGTGTTCAGCATCCAACAAGTTGAAAACTTCAACTTAAAGCCCTCAGGCTGGATGAGTCAGTTAAACAGGAACAGACCCATTCTTTCCAATTTCCTCAAAATGAACCACAGAGGCCAATTGCCAAAAAGAGTAAAATATATGAAACATGTTACTGCTAGCCACAAAAGGATGATTAGCTTCATAAAATACTTGATGTTGCTTTGTGCCATCGAGTCAGACCCGACTCAGAGCAACCCCTCCTTGAATTTCCGCGACAGTATCACTACGGAAGTAGATTGCCCCATCTTCCATCAATTTTTATTTTAGGATAATCTCAATCCCTGATATTTAGTAACATAGTACCAAAGACAGAGATAGAGACAGAGAGAGACAGATCTTTACAAGTGTGCCGTTGTTAGGTGCCGTCAAGTCAGCCCCAACTCATAGCGACCCCTCCTTGGGTTTCTGAGGCGGTATTATTATAGGAGTAGATTGCCCAACCTTTCTTCCAAGGAGGTGCTGGTGGGTTTGAACCACCAGCCTTCTGGTTAGCAGTCAAGTGCCTTAGGCACCATGATAACAGAGCTCCTCTTTACAACTGTAGAGACTTTCAAAAAAATAAATGCAAGGACAGTTCTTGAATATCTCAAACTAAAACTACCCATAAATGCTAAGTACTACTACTCTCAATACAGGTCTTCAGGATTGGCATTCTCTCACTCTGCAAGGGATTTTACACATTCACAGTGGGTGAGGACGACTGGGTCTGGGTTCACTGAGAAGCCCTTACCTTCTTTCATTCTGGGTGATGGTGCCCTTCTCCAGCTTCCCAGCTATAGAGCCCAGCACCTTGCTGGCATCATTGGCAAAATCTAGGTCCCGAACCTCAGCAGGAGACACTGGAACTATAGCAAATGCTTCCTTATCTTCCTTCACAGGAGAAGTGCCAATCTGAAATTCAAGATGGTCTTTGTGGGATAATCTTACAGATTGAAAAGGTCAGACCTTCATCATATTCAATATTCACAGGATATGGGAAGTCCAAAAAGGCTGGAGCTACCTTGCAGTTAAAATGTACTAGACATAGAAGGACAACCAAAGTGTTATTACCTCTGGAGAGTGGTACTGTGGGGAATGGAAGCAGCAAAGGGGGCACTACTATCATTTATAGCTTTTCTACCTTTGCAGTGCTTTAAATTGTTACAGAGAGCAAAGGAGACTATTGTAATTTTTTTTAAAAAAAGTTTATAAATATATATAGAAAAAGCAAAAGTGGCAAAATAGCAACTATTGACTAAGTGGAGATTGCATCATTCTTTCAAATTTTCAATGTATCTAAAAATGTTTATAAAAGCAGAATAAAAAAATTCTAATAATCCTCCCACCACCAAAAATAAAAGGTACATCAGAGTGAAATTCCATTTTGAAAAAAACAAAAATCCAGTGTGTGTGTATATTTGTATTCTATGAGCCTAAATAAGATGAGTTCAGGGACAGACAGTAAGAAGTCAGAAGAACTTTCAAGAAAGAAAACTGTAGAGTTAAATAAAGAAATAATGAATATTGGGAAGGATCAACAAGATATTTGATGTACCTCAAGACACAAGCAAAACATTCCTCCAGCCATAATCATTCTCCAGACAGACATGAAATCCAGACAATTGCTCAATGTTTCGGGCGGAAGCCACGGGATACAAAAAAGGTTCTGGTTATTTCAAAAGCCCTGGACTTGCTTCATCCAGGTCCTTTGAAGATAATTCTTTCTGCATATTCACATTTGGCTATAACTGCATGCTGGCCAGATAAAAAACTTCATAGCTCCTCACACCCCTGTATGCCCTCAATGGGAGCCTTTCATTTGTGAGCATGAGACCCAGGGAAAGAAGCCAAATTCCTAACTTACTTTCAGCATCACGGGTTTTTCTTCTTCCTTGTCAATGGGGATATTTGTGCTGTGAACCCAGGTATTGGTACACAGGTGTCTGAGACGGACATAGGAGTTCCTAAAGAGTGGGAAAAAAAGCTGAAGGCAGGAATATTTAAGAGTTTCTCTATAGCCACCAGCCTAGAAAATATTGTATCAAAATAGACAAAGATACTCAAATCGTTTTCTCCTACATACACTAAACGATATAAACTTAGGAGCAAATGACATTGTTCCAAATCACAATCTTATGTGTTTGTAATAGAAAATCATTCATAATGACTCTCATTATTTATAGCTGTATTTCTAAACACAGGGTCATACCATTACAAAATTTCAGAAAAAGGAGCAAGTACTCATTGGCTAAATATTAGTTCTTACCATGAGAAGCAATACAGCGATAATTAAAAATTTCATATAAATTAATTAAACAAAAAATGAAATTGCTGGGAGAAATATGAATAACTATTTTAACAATCCTGTGTTAGGGAGATCCTTTTGAAATATGACAAAACACAAAATCCCTAAATTTAAAAGGAAAACATGAATAAATCTTTTTACATAAAGTTTTATATCTTCCGCACACAAAACAACAACAAAAAACACCCACACAATAAAAACAGTAACATCATGCACAGAAATGGGAGAAGAATGATGAACTGGGAAATTAAATTGATAATACATACTACAAAAACAAGGTTCTTAATTCACACATATAAAGAGCTCTCACAAATCAATAAGAAAAGCAAGAATATCAGGATAGAAAATCTGCAATTTAATAAGGAAATGCAAATGATCAATAAACATGGAAGTATACATTTAGCCTTGTTAGTAAAAAATACCCACAAATTAAAGCAATATATCATTTTATAGCCTCATACTTCAGAAATTCTACAAATTAATAAAACCCAAAATCAGTAAGAGCTTAAGGAAGTGAGCTCTCTTGTGCACTGGTGGTGAGAGTGTGAATAGGTAAAACTCTGAAGTCTATAGGCACTTTGTATAACATGAAAAACATATCTATTATTTTAGTTAGCAATCCCATATCTACATTTTTTCCTGAAAAGATGATAGCATAGATACAAAATAAGGCACAAAGATGTTTAACAAAGCATAATTACAGTAATGAAAATATCTAAGTGATCTAGTGCTCCAATAAAGGACCATGTTGTCAGGTGCTGTCGAATCAGTTCCAACTTACACTAACCTTATGTATAACAGAACCAAACACTGCCCCATCCTGCACAATTCTCACAATCGTTGCTATGCTTGAGCTCATCATTGTAACCACTGTGTCAATCCATCATATTGAGGATGATGTCTTTCTCCAGGGATTGGTCCCTCTGACAACATGACCAATGTAAAAGAAACAAAGTCTGGCCATTCTTGTTTCTAAAGAGCATTGCAGCTGTACTTTCTCCAAGACAGATTTATTTACTCTTCTAGGAGTCTATGGTATACTCAATATTCTTACCCAAGACCACAATTCAAATGCATCAGTCCTTCTTTGGTCTTCCTTATTCACTGTTCAGCTCTCACATGCAAATGAGGCTAGTGAAAACAGGATGGCTTAGGTCAGGCACACCTTAGTCTTCAAAGTGACATCTTTGCTCTTAAACAGTTTAAAGAGGTCTCTTGCAGCAGATTTGTTCTGTCCTACAGGACCACGGTGAGTTGGAATTAACTTGATGGCAACAGGTTTGGCCTTTTTCTTTTGCTTTATCAATTCATTAGTAAGAGAAGACAAATGTATTCTACATATTAACAAGAGATTCACATGACAATAACACTAAGTTAAGAGATGGTTAAGATAAGGACTTTCAGAGAAAAAGATCGAGGCAACTCAGTGTCATGGAAATCTTCTGTTACAGAAACAACTTGAGTTGGAACTTTAAAGATCTGTGGGACTGGGGCAGAAGAGGGACACAAAAGTCACTCGTGTTAAGAGGAATTCAGAACAGTGGCATACCATGTTCATGGGAAAGGCAGGAAAAAGGCAGGTCAAAGTAGGCACATCTCTTTAGTAAATCATTGCCCTTCCTTCACTATAAATGACTGAATGTTATAAGGAAGGCCAGAAGAGGGCAAACATAGTGATATTTGAATAACACAAATATAAATAAAGCAACACAAGCAAGATATTTGACAAAGAGGTTTGCATTTTTTCTTCTAAGTAATTTAATTTGTTTTCTAATTTTCGAAGTGTAACCAAAACTAGGAGCTTTCGTTTAATTAGTAGATTACATTCTATATCAAATTACAGTTAAGCTACAAAGGGCATTCTATCAATTCTAATGAAGTTCCATACACAATCCTTAACTGAGAAGCCATGAAAGCAGAATAATTAAGGAAGACCAATAGAAGTGGACTTTCTATGTTCACTTAATGCCTCTAATTTACTTATACTGCAATTTTTTTAGCTTGTTTAATAAATCTACAATTTGGCATTTCCCTTTCACATTGGCATCTAATGATTTTTTAACCAGTGATTATCACAGAAATTCCTTTACTGATCACATTTCCTAGATAGTCATAGATCTATGCTTCAGTTTTCTGATTTTCAAACTAGTAAAATTCAGCACAACTGAGGAAACAGGAGTATACTACTTCCTAGATTTTTTTATGACTCCACAGAATCAATTAGTAAGTCATCCCTTTTCCTTCTGGCTCTAAAGGTGGTGAACAAGGAAGATTGGTTACAATTTTAAAAAAGCTAAGACTACATCTAAAAACATCAGTGAACACACTAGTAGACCATAGCAGACCCTGTTTCCAGGGTGAACACAAGATTTCCCTTGCTTGTGAGTTTAGAATCCATCTACCTGTGGACTACTGCCCACAAAGGACATTTGCCAATAAAGAAACAGTAATGAATGGAAGAAATAGAGAAGTGGGGCCTCTAGCCAGGTGATCTAGGAGCTTAAGTTTCCTCTTCCTACCAGATGAGGGGTACTTCCAACCCATCAGGGAATATGGACAAGTAGCATCTCATTCCTCCTTCACCAAAAGAAAGTCAAAATATCTTCTGATGGAATAATATGATATTTTAAATCACATTATTTTATGATTCTGTGTTCTCTTCTATCCCTATCAAACTAAAACATTTAGCATATAAAAACTCTCTGATCCTCAGTGTAATTATCCATAAAAAAAAAGCACTGATAACAGTCTTTTTGTTTTTGTGTGTGAAGACTAAATTATATTCTACATGTAAAAGACTCAGCATTTTGCCCAACATGTAGCCAATAAATGTGAGCCATTAGTAATAATATTATTGATTCTATCATTAAAAATGAGCTTTTGTTCCCTTTATAATCCAGTTATTTCCCAATAAATGCATTCTTATGCAACAAATCTAAGAGTTAAGTTTAATAAAAAGAAGAAAACTTGTCTAAGTTTCCATAATTTTAATAAAATTTACTATGCACATAGTGCATTTCAGACACTTCATCTCCTACAATGTCTTTTCAATTGTTCATTCAATTAGTGAGAGATATTTCAGGCTTAGGGAAGGGAGAAGGGAGTAAAGGATACTGGAAATATTAAGCTACTGAGCTTTGGCTTGTTTACCAACATCTAGAACTTCTTATCCAAATAGTAAGAACTTTTAACGGATGATTCACAAAAAAGTCTGACACCATTCATTTGGACAGCCAATCTACATCTGTTACCAAATCCTTTATAAAAGCTTAAACAAAAGGGATAGATAATTTTTTTTTTGTTGTTAGTAGCCGTCAAATTGATTCCAACTCATGGCAACCCCCATGTGCAGAGTGGAACTGTGCTCCATAGCATTTTCAACGGCTCTGATCTTCCTGAAGCTGATCGCCAGATATGACTTCCAAAGTAGTTTTGAACTGCCAACCTTTGGGCTAGTAGTTGAGCACTTAACCATTTATGCCACCCAGGGATTCGAGTGATGATTTCAAGAAATCTCAGTCCTGACTCTCAGGGTAAGCAATTTGAAAATCATACCTTGGGACAAGGCTATCACCTCCACGCAGTGTGGTGGGGTCAAGCTCAAAAATAGAGGAGATGTCATTCCCTTCGGGCACAGACACCAGGGAGTACACCATCTTCTCCTGAGCATTCCGTAACCTACTTCGAGATGCATCTTGATCAGGGTCCACCTAAGGAGGAAAAGTCATCAAGTCACGGGTAGTGTGTGCCAAATCCTTGTAAAATCATTCCACAATCCACAGGAAGAGAGAAGAAACTATAGTGAATGTCAGCAGTTGGCAGGAAAAGTACCACAATCTCAGAGTAGTCATAAAAGATGACAATCGGCCACCTGAGCCAAGAATATTTACGCTCTACTGCCTTGTGTTGCAATAGCAACACGTGAACAATTTGGGATCACCGTAGTAGTTTCTATGGAAAGAATGCTGTAGGTGATAAGAATTTAGTATAGCTACGTCCATCTGCAGTAGTTGGGGGAGAGGAGAAGCACTCTGAGAAAACTTATTCTGTGGATTTAGTTATGGGTAGTTGTGTCAATCTACTGTGCTAATTGCCATGAGACAACATCATTCAGCTATTTCCCAGGAAAAAACAGATAAATTAAACAACCTGACGCCAAGTGTTCGTAAGCAGCAATCCCAGTATGGCCAAGAAAAATACTTGAGAAGTCAGACTAGCCCTGAAAAAAAAGGTCCATAATTAATCATGGAGGGCCACTGATGACAACTTGGGGAAAAATGGCCTCTCCTGGACATTAGGGACTTGGCTTAGATTCAGTAAACCTCTGCCGGCGAAGGCTGATGAAAAGTGACAAAAGCTTTCATGAGCAACTGTAAAAACTCTTAGGGAAGGGAGTATTTCCCAATGGTCCCAAAACCCATCGGCTGAAGGAAATGGAGCAGAGTACTCAGACGAGTGCCTGGTCCAGTAGACTTTGCAAGGGCTTGTTCATCCCCTTGACTCTATGTGGGATTACTGTGAGTGTTTGACATCCTTACAAGATGACGGTATCTACCTGTATCTTCTGTGAAAACCACGTTTTTTCACTAACTTGCTTTCCTTAGTCTGAGGCACTGACTCCTTCCCAAAAGACAAGGAAAAAAAGACTGCACTAGAAGACGAAAGAATCTAGATAAAGGAAACCAAAGCAAACAGGCAAATGAGAGAACCTAATTCCATAGGGTCTGATATCTATTAATATTAGTCTGCTTTATCAGTTCTAACTTCTGTCAAAAAAAAAAAAAAAAATGAAATGTCCCTTTTAATAGTCAAAATCTCTCTGCCTCCTTCCATCCCCAACTCTCTCCTCTAATAACCTGTATATAAAAACAGCTGCCTTCAAGACAATTCTAATTCATGGTCATCCCGTGTATACCAGAGTAGAACCATGCTTCATAGGATTTTTGATGACTGATTTTTTGGCAGTAGGTTGCCAGGCCTATCTTCTGAGGCACTTTGGGTAGTCTCTGGGAGGACACAAATCTCTAACCTTTGGTTAGTAGTCAAGTAAATTAAACATCTATACTGCCCAGGGATCCCCTAATAACTCATAGCTGTGCCTAACCAAATCCTAGTTTAATTATGGATAGCTGTGTTAATCTACAGTGATAAGTGCTATGAAACAACATCATACACCCATTCCCTAGGAGAAAATCGATACATTGAAAAACCTGACACCATTTATCTACAGGTAACTACAAAGTGCCAAAACATTTCCACGTCTCAGTTCAGAAGAAAAATACTTTGCAGAGAATTTGTTCTCTCCTAACTAGTTATTCCCTTGGAAAGTGTTCCACATGTCACTTTCAAAATAAACCCTGGCCTGGTTATGGTTCGAGACACATGGCTTGGCTGTAGGCTGGAAGTTATATTTCAGAGATCTTCAGGAATTCTAGAGAAAAATCAGAATTGTGTATTAAGTCCACAGGGTTAGAAACTGCTGGCTCCAATTCTTTCAGTGTGTGGTCTGTGTCTGCCACCTAGTGGGAGGAAATGGGTATGTGTAAAAGGTCGTCAAGCTAACAGGGCCTTGGGTAGCCCTTTACTCCCCTCTGGCCTCCAAGAGGCTGGAGGGTGCCACTGAATTCAGAAGGATGGTCACAAGGATGAATGGGGTTCGAGGCAGAACATGCAAGCCCTGGATGCCAAGGTTCGGGGAAATACATGGCTTATGAGCAGAGCGGGAGGAGAGGATTCCTCTCCCAAGCATCCCCAACTCTTAACTCTTCAGTGAATGTTTCCAAGCCTAGAAGAAGAAGGCTGAAGAGCTCTCCCAGTATGACAGCACCCCAAAGAGGCTGAGGCTGCATTGCTGGCCTCAGGGACATGGGGTACACCACCCTTCTCCACACACTTTTCCTCTGCTTGCGGCCCCCACACAAGCAACACTTGGAAGAGGCAGAGCAGCGCAGTCTAGATCCGCACCCCAGCCTGTCTGCATATCCGCCAGTCTGGTCAGGCAGAGAGTGAAAAAGTAGAAAGGGTCACTGAACTCCAAGAGACCCTAAAAAGCATGACAAGGCAGAACAGGTCTCAAAATGTCCTTCCTCAACTGCCAAATGAAGACTGCAAAACCTGCCCTGACTCCATTCATGGGGCTGTTGTGCATCCCAGATCTTCAGTCCTAGTGCACTGAAGGCATTAACAATGATGATATTGTACATCTTTCCCAAATGCATTTATTAAGTGCTCATTATTTACCATGCATTTTATTTGGACAGCATCTCACTCTGCCCTTACAACAAGCTTATGTCCCATTTCTTAAGATGAGGGACTTGAGGCTTTGAGAAGGAAAGTAACTTGTCCAAGGCCACATAGCTCATAAGTGGTAGACTGGAGATTTAAACTCGGGTCTATCTCACAACCCTATCTGCCTTTGATCACTAGGCGCTTCCTTCTGCATTAAAAATGTCAGTCTTCTTTCCCACATAAACTGGCCAGGAGAGCTACCCCACCCCTCCAGCCCCCACAGAGCTAGCCAGGGCTCTCTTTCAAAGTAATCTCAGAAGTGAGGCTTGTCTGTGTTACCTCACATGGCAGCACTAAGACCAATAGATGTAAGTCATATAAAGGCAGACTGTTCAAAATAAAGATGGTGAAGATGGTGCAAGGACAAGAACTGTGTCATGAAAAGTAATTTCATGTTTTTACAAAAGATTTTTTACAAAAGATTTCCTTTAAAAAAAAAAAAGGCAGAAGGTTAGACTAGGTCAGGTTTTCTAAGCCACATTAATTGTGGAAACCAAGAGGAATCCAGAAACTAGGATTAAGGAGGAGACGAAAGACATGAGCCTCAGATGCTCCATCAAGGAGCAGGATGGGAAGAAATGCTCATCTAGCAAGTCTAGTACTAACAGAAAGAAACCCTCAGTTAGAACTCCTCTGAGTTTCTCTCAAAGCTAACACTCTATGCAAGTTTAACTAAAAGGTTAACTTTTATTGCAGAATTCACAACACATTTCAAACACAATTATATTTTGTCTTATCTCCACTCTAACTCCCTTCATTATTGTGCCTATTCTAATATGCTTTCAATTTTTTTTTTTTTTTTTTAAATTTTTGCTTAAAAAAGAAAGGCAAAAGTAATTGACCCTCAGTACTACCTACCCTATCCTCCACTGCTTAGGTCATCACATGGACACACGATCTCAAAGAGAGCAGCAACTGTTAGTGCTTTGCTTTGCTCTATTATTTTAAATCTGAAAACAGGATCAAGCACTCTGCAAGGGAACCACTTTCCTTATACCCACTCTTTCTATGTAACAACCACTGTCCCTCTTGCATTCCCATAATTGTGAATATCTCAACCCCAAAGGCTAACATATCAGCATTACTCAGCAATGTCCATTGAAAGATCCATTTTGCATTAAAATTCCAAACTACATAATATACTAAGGCCTATTTCTGACTTTGCAGCAAGCAAGGTTAGATGGTTAGACAATAGGTATCTAATCAGATGTCAGGTATGTTATGCTGCATATACCTCCACAGCCTAGAGGACACTCACTACCACCAACACTCATTCCTTGAAAAATCTGAGTCATTACTGAGGTCATCAACAATGGAGAAGTCATTTATAAAAAGCCAACCTCTCCTTCGGGGGCCATGAGTATCTCCAACCTAGGAGTATTCCATGAGATCTCTTGAACTTTTCCAACCTAGATGTGAAGACACCTTGACTAAGTACAGAAAGCACGCTGTGACCAACAGTCCCTTGCACTGATCAGGACACAGGGAATGCCACTATCCTCAAGGGAAGCACAAACCAAGATCTTCTTTTACAGCAGTAGGAGGTTTCCCCTTCCCCAGCACTCAGTGACTTCAATGACAATTTCTTAAATGTGGTTCTAGATCATTTGGCCTCACCCTACCAGATGAGACAAGAAGGCTCTTGCCCATACTTACTGAGGGCTGAAACTCCAGGCATTCTTCCTCAAAGTCAGGGTCTACCTGATGAAAAAGAATCATTAGGAAATTAAAACATCTGTTGCTTTCTCAAGGATTCGGCCCCACCTACAGAAGACTTCACAGCCTGTGTACATCTCTGAACAGCTAAGAACTTGTCCCTTCCCTCTGTTCACAAAACCAGCATGCCACAACAGCGACACATGTCACACAAGCACAATACACATGGTACAATCTATTAGTGAGCAGTAGATGGCTCTCAAGTACAGACAGAAGGAACACAATGAATTAACTAGCAAAGCAACAGTGAAAAGCCTGAGATAAATAAAAGATTAGTACCCAACCAATGATATTCCTGTTTATTTTTGGTGAAAACATAAGGAAAGTTTAGGCCTCCAGCAAGAACCACTTTCACCTCAGTACATAACAGATAACGCAACCACCATGATCTTCGGCAAACCATGTTACCAACATTTCTTACAGCTGGTTAGCTGGGTCCATTATTCCCTGTGGCTCCGATTTAAACTTCAACTTAAACTTCGTGATCTTCAGTGCTTAAATATTTCAAAACTGTCAGTTCATACAAGTATCAGGCATCTCAGGGAGTTTGGTGCATTCAGCATTCCTCAGGTCAGTTGCAAAAGCAGTACTGACACCCACTCATCACCTTGAAAAGCTCTGAGAAGTAGCATCAGACAACAGGAGGTGTCTTTTGATGTACGACTAGAATCTGATATGAATATGCATCACACATCTTCCAGCACATCAGAGTAAAACTCAACATCTGTCATGCAGTAGGAAGCGCTTTCATTTAATACAGAAATTTAAAAAAAGTATATTCCTTTTGTCCTTCAGCACCGAGTCTTTCCTTACCTCAAAAACCCTTCACAGATATTTAAGGTACAGTTAATTTCTTTGATTTTGACTTTCTTATGAGAATAAGATGAGGCCCTGTCTATTCCATTAATGCTCCAACAAACCAGATTTCTCTATAAAATTGTTTACTTATTCATGTAAAACTCCTCTGGTTTTATATACCATGTTTCTACTACAGCCAATTTTCGGTCATTTATGCTGAGCAGAGCTGGTAGTTAAAATATGGGGAAAGCAGTAACAGAAAAATAATCCTTAAAATCCAGATTAGAGGTATTTTCTAACTTATTTTCTCCCCACATCTTTATCAGAACCCCTGTCAAGGAATGAAATAATCATTTTTGCCTCTTTTTCTATATACACTTGCTGCGACTGAGTTGACTCTGACTCATGGTGACCCCACGTATGTCAGAGCAGAGCTGTGCTCCATATGGTTCTCAATGGCTGATTTTTCCAAAGCCGATCACATATATCAGGCCTCTCTTCCAAGGTGCCTCTGGGTGGACTTAACTGAGTCTCTGACCTTCTGGTTAGCAGCTAACTGTGTTTTGCCACCAAGGGACTCCTGTACCACCCAAAAACTCCTTTTTTTCCTCTATAAACAAGGAAGTGAGGCAGAAGAAAACGAAAAAGCAGAAGAAGGAAAAACAATGTGATGAGTGTTGACCTGAGTTTCTACCTCTCTAACTGCTACAGAGAAATGAAAGGGAAGTGAGTGTATCAGCTGTGGCAGAGAAAAAGGGCAGCTGCTACTTACCTCTGCTGCTAAGTAATGTCCTGTCGCCAGATGCTTGAAACGGAAGAGGCTGTTCCAATACCCTGCTCCACCCCGACAAGGGTCATGTTGAACAACCTGTAAGAAGAAGGAAAATCAACAGGAGTCAGAGAAATGTCAACTCAGACTAGAAAGACACTGAATCTGAGATGTTGCACAGAAGTCATAGCTCAGGAGTAATATTTACTAGTTGAAAAAATATCAACATCTTCCAAGAAATCATTTGCAACTATCATATATAATGCAAGAAATGTTTCTCTTTAAGGAAATACTCTTCAAGGTGGTTCAGTGGTAGAATTCTTGCCTTCCGTGAGGGAGAACTAGGTTCCATTCCTGGCCAATGTACCTCTTGCACAGCCATCACCCATTTGCCAGTGGAGGCCTACATGTTGCTGTGATGCTGAACAAGTTTCAGTGGAGCTTTCAGACCAAGAAAGACTACAAAGGAAGGCCTACAGGTCTACCTCTGAAAATCTGTCAATGAAAATCCTATGGATCACAATAGTTCAATCCACAACTGATCGTGGTAATGGCACAGAACAGGGCAGCATTCTGTTGTGTATGGGGTCGCCATGAGTCAGGCGCTGACTTGATGGTAGCTAGCAATAAGTTAGCATGAAATGGCTGGGCTGAAAATGTACAGTTTTCAGATTATTTGACTTAAACACAATGCAATAAAAGTTAAGAGTCTGAAAGAGCCTGAACTTCATTCACAAAAACTACTAGCAAAATAAAAAATTTCATGGAAAACAGTATAAACAATCTATACGTGAATTCATGAGTTGGAACACATAGACAAGGCTACATGGTGAAACTTGAAACTGGCAGAGTCTGGGCTGATTTGCCATAAAACAACGTAAGTTTAGCTCTTGGCCATGATGAATAACTGCCACTGATTGTTGGTGCTATAACCAATTAGAAACAGCACAATATATATGAAATTGCCACAGATAATCAGAAAATTGGTTAAGATATATAAAACAATGGCGTTCAGACTTTGGACAATGAACAGTGCAGAGCTAAAATCTCTGAAAGAAGGGAAACAAACCAGGGGAGCCTTGCAATTGCTTTGGCTTTCTGCCTAGAGACCTTCTCTGGACAGGAGCCAGGGATGGAGAATCCAAGCAGAAGACACCATTCTACGGAGTTGAGGAACTAACTAAGAGGGTGCAGAGACGAAGGTAGTGGGAATTTGTGGGACAGGGTACGGAAGAGTATGGAGCTATATAGAAAAGACCTGCAGAAATCTTCATACGGGACTCCTTGTGCCTTTGTCTGAATGCCAAACTACATACATGTAAAGGTGAGACTCCACAGGCGACATAATGCACTACACAGAAGCTGGAAGGCATTCTGATTCTGACAAGCCATAGTGGAGAGATGCTACTGAATACCAGTAAAGATATCAAAAGGGTCACACCTTAGTAGTAGGATTAAACTAGCCTTACTATAAAAGGCTATGCTACATCAGACTTACCAAAGCTAAAAATAAGTCCCCAAAATATAAAACACATCCACAAATAACTTTACTCCTGGCAAAATCAAACTCATCTCTTTAAAGGCAGGCAACAGAATCCAGATACTCAACTAGCATCACAATGTTCAGCATACATTCATAAAATACTAGACCCATAAAGACTAATGGAAATGTGACCTATAACTAGCTCTGGTGGCACAGTGCCTACGGCATTTCACTGCTAACTAGAAGGTTGGTGGTTCATACCCACCAGCCACTCCATGAAAGGATGACTGGGCAATCTACTTCTGTAAAGATTTACCACTTTGGAAACCCAAAGAGGGTTGCTATGAGTCGGAATTTACTCAATGACTGTGAATTTGATTTTTGGTTTGGAGACCTGTTAAACAATATCAAGCAATACAGCATGCGTGTATGGGTTGAGGGAAGGAGAAAGAAGAAAAAATATTTGCAAAATAATGACAAAACTTTCCCATTTTGATACACACCCACAGATTTCAAGAAACTCAATGAACTCCAAGTAGGATAAGTGTGTGTGCATGGACATGTACAAGTGGTCATGCCCACACACATACATTAAAGCTCATCACAATCAGATTAATGAAAACCAGAAATAAAAAGAAAAATCTTAAAAGCAGACAGAAAAAAAAAACAGATATATAGAGAATAAAGACAGGAAAACCATTAAATTCATATGAGAAACAAAGCAAACCAAAAGATAGTGGATCAACATCTTTAGAGTATGGAAGGAAAAAACTCACTATCTAGAATTCTCTATCCAAGAAAAATATCCTTAAAAAAATGAAAGCATGGGGAGAAATCAGAGCCCTCATACATGACTGGTGGGAATGAAATACTTGTAATAATTAGTTCTTGTGCTTTGGAAAACATTATGGTAGTTCCTGAAAAGGTTAAACACAGAGTTACCATATTACCCAGCATTATCACTGTCAAAAATGAAAACATGTGTCCACACAAATATTGGACACAAATGTTTACAGTAGCATTATAAACAGCAGCCAAAAATATATAAATATCTATCAACTGATAAATAGATATATATCACCAGAGCTCCTTTAAAATATAGTATATCCAAATAATGGAATATCATTAAGCCATAAAAAGAAATTAAGTACTGATCCATGTAACAACATGGATGAACCTTGAAAACATTATGCTAAGTGTATGTTTTCATTTATATTAAATGTCCAGAAAAGACAAATTCAGAGACAGAAAGTGAATTAGAGGTTGGTAAGGATGGGGGAGAGGACAAACTTTGAGGGAAAATAGGAAGTGACTGCTAAGGGATATAAGGTTTCTTTCTGTAGTGATGAAAATATTGTAAAATTAACTGTGTCGATGATTGCACAACTCTACAAATATACTACAAACTAACAAATTGCACATTTTAACTGGTTAAATGGTATGGCATGTAACTTCTATCTCAACAAAGTTATTCTTAAAAAAAAAAAACATGTTCAAAAATGAAGGTTAAATAAAGACATTCATACAAATAAGAGCTGAGAAAATATGTCACTGACAGGCATAGAGTGCAAGAAATGACAAAGGAAGTTCTTTAGGTTAAAGGAAGATGATACCAGATGCAAACATGAATCTACACAAAGGAATGAGGAACTTAAAATAACTGTGTGGGTAAATACGAAAGCCACCACAGTATGCTGTACTATGGTTGCATGTATGTTGCTATGATGCAGGAAATTAAACGTCTTAGGCAGGGTTCCCTACAGGAGCAAACCCAGTGAAGTGTGTGTGCATATCTGTATGCTGGCTCACAGGGCTGCGGAAGCTGGCAAATTCCAAAATCTGCACATTAGACAACAGGCAGAATGAGAGGATGACAAGTCAGACGCAGGATCCAATGAGAGTAAGCTCTGCCAGAACATCCATAAATACTGGATACAGGCCTGGGGAAACTGATGGGATTTCATCTGACTGGCTGCTCACATCAGAGCACAAAATGGAAGGTGAATACATTGTATTATATTATGGAAGAGTAATCAGTCCAAATGTCTGCCAAATCACTGAGAATCATAGCCTGGCCAAGTCGACACATAACAATAACCATCACACTGGGCCACAGGTATTTGAAATACCTGCAGGGTCACTCACGATGCACAGGTCTCAGCGGGGCTTCCAGACTAAGACCTGATGATCTACTTTTAAAACTCAGTCAATGAAAACCCTATGAATCATACAGAATACTGTCTGATATAGTACTGGAAGATAAGCCCCTGGATAAATTGCCCTTCAGGGCTTTGCTCTTCAAAAAGAGTTTCTGTTTTATTTCTCACATCTCTCCTTATATTCCCCATCAAACTGGGCTACTGGGTTTTATCCCAAGTTCACCTCACCTATTCAATCCCACGATCTTACATGAAGTGACCTACTCTATCCATCTCTTTATTCTGCAGTAGAGATCATCCTACAAATACCAATTCAGGTGCTTCCCTCAGGAAGTCTTCATTAATTCCTGGTCCAACTACAAGTTCTCCTTCCCTTACCTAAACCTCTAGAGCACAAAGAACATGCCTCTCCTCACCTTTACCACCCTGCTGTGTATGCCACTTGTCTGGCTGCCTATCTTTTCTTCTCTGCCCCTCACTAATACCACTAGACCATTTGTCCCTTATAGGCTGACACTATGTGGTTCACTCATGTTTTCACGGTGGATAGGGAGTAAGTAAATGTTATTGTGATTGATAAATGAGCAAAAGAAAGAAAAAAATAGAAGAGATGGCAAGACAGTCCAGAGGAAGTAGTTTCCAATTTCAGTTTTGAGTTTATTTTCAAAGTAGATGTCATTTTCTGTCACAAGAATCATCCAGTATCCTTCTGATATGTAATAATGTACTTATTTCTCTGGAGTCCTTGAGTGAGGCAGTTAATGTTTTCAGCTGCTAACTGAAAGGTTGGAAGTCTGAGTTCACTCAGAGGCACCTTGAAAGAAATGTCTGCTGACCTACTTCTGAAAAGCCAGCCAAATATAAATCCTGTGGAGCACAGTTCTACTCTGATAGACATGACATAAGGTTGCCAGGAGTATCAACTAGGTGACAACTGGTTAGTACTTACTTCTCTAATTCATCTCAACACATTTTTGAAGGAAGATGGGGTATAAGTGCCTGGATGTGATTTATTCCTATAAATTATGAGTCTTTCCTTTTAGTCTTTCCCATCTGCTTATTTACCTCCACCTCCCACAGGGCTTTGGAACTAGTGGCTGATGTAGCCGACTGCCGACCAGTGGTCCTCAGGAAGACATGCTGCTTCTTCCTATGCTCGTCACAGGTGAGAAACTTTTCCTGCTCAGCATGGAACAATCTCACCACATCACCCTAAAAGTCAACAAGGAGAGAGTCAGGGAAACAAGTTTATAAAGAGGGCTGATCTGAGCCTCAAGAAGAGCCGAGTGCTGCCAGCCCACAACATATTAAACTTACTCCCTTTAATATGTCATCTTTGTTATCATTCCATTTCATGAAAAGGACGATTTTCCAGCTTGTATTGCAGTTGACAGAATTGACCTGGAAAACAAATTAGACTGAATTGGTTATGTAGGTTCCCCACATTCACAACAACTGTGTCATCCAGCCCAAAAAGTATTCATTACGGCCTAGAAGCAAGGCCATGGTTCAGCCAAAAAACCTAAAGGCTGAAACCAACAAGGTCAAAGGACCTGTAAACTCAACAGGCCTGTTAAAAGCATTAGGTAATAAATGGTTCATTTGCACCAATCACTATGTATGCTCCAACTATGACTAAAGGAACCAAGCTCTGCCCTTCTGGAAGTGATATTTTCCTTTCTCTCAAAGTTTCTTGTTCCAAAGCCAGAAAGTAAAGGCCTAATGAAAACAAGTGCTTATAAAATGGGATGAGTTACAAAAGCAAAAAATGAGTCCAGTGTATATTTTCCAAAATAGTCAAGATAATTGCTAACAGCAGCAGTCACTGTTTGTGTACTAAGTATATGCCAGGCACTGGGCTAAGAGCTAACATTCACGACCTAATTTATTCCTCAGCATCACCCTATTTTTTGAAAATAGGTATGACCATTGTTTCCATTTCAACAACAGGAAAACTGAAGCAGGGACTAAAGTCACAGAGCTAGAAAACAGTAGAGTTGAGACATGAACCCACGTCTACCCAATCCAGAGTTTGTGTTCTTAACCATGAGGCAAATATATCTGTCACGAGCAAGTTAATATCTTTGTGTCCCATAATTGCTGATTTAGAGGCTAGGTAGATGTATTTCTTTAAGGCTGCTAATTGTTTGAAGCACACTTTTGTTAGCAACTGGAAAAAGCCACTCTGTCTAGACAGACAAATTAGAATGAAGTGCCCCTCTGGCCTGAGAAATGTAGTAAAAGGGGCCCTCTCTGACTAAAAGTTAGAAAATACTCCCCTGGTAGACACAGGACTTAGCAAGCACAACTGGGATTATCAGCCCTTACCCACCACCCATTGCACAGATTATTAGCACAACCTAACATGGGGGCCCTGACTCTGGACATCGGTTTCCTCAGCTGCAGAACAGGCACACTACTTCCAAGTCAATGCTGAAGTCCTGGCCCCAGGAACATCTGCTCTTCCAGCAAACACTACCCACTTCCGTAACTTGATTTTTCTTACTTCATTGCAGCCTGGATTATCCACCAGTTGATGGCTGCTTGCATGTAGGGGCTGGCCAGCATTGACGGGATTCAGAACAACTTTGTCGCCTATCACCACCTGGAAAGAAGCAACAGAGGTATTCACAAAACACACCAGAAGGATAACAGACTGAGACAGAGCAGTTTGGGAAGGAGCCATAAGATCTTGTACTGAAGAAGGCCCACCCGCTGGCAAATAAAAGGATACACATCTTTAAAAGTCTAGCTCTGTGCTAGGAGGGGTGATGCTTGCAAGTCCATGGGTGAATTTTGGTCCCAGAATGATCACTGATTATACACTGATGTTTTCAATATGAGTTCCGAGCAGTAAGAAAAAAATCTTGCATTTGTTGAGTTCAGTGAAGGCACTTGTATCAATGAGTTCTGACTTAATTTTAGGCATAGAAGGAGGATATTGCTTGAGGTAAGTCTTTATTTTTTGAAAAATAAAGTCATAATTTTATATCTAAAGCAAAAATTTTCATACTTTTTGACTACAACTCACAAAAAGAAAAATGTTTTCTATTATGACCCAGTACGTGCACGCACACACACTCACATTACACATGATATGCATATATAAAACTGAAAAAAACTTACAAAAATAAAAATACTTATCCTGTGTATAATACAGCCTGATACTTTCTATTCTATCCCATTTTTAGAAGAATGATGGTCACAATGATTTGATGTTCCACTTATGGGTTAAGATCTGAAGTTTGAAAAACAAGAGGATAAATGCTCCAGTCCTTCTCAACTAAGTCATAGCTAAACAAATTAAAGGATAGGAAAGAAAAGGACTTAATGAAGACAAAAGTCAGAACAAGGTTCACATGTTTTGTTTAATTATGGTGGGATGGGGAAGATCGTTTCCTACCATGTAAAACCCATCTATTTTCAGTGTGAACATCTGGGGAGCATATACAAGTAAATTTTCTCAAACTCCAAATGAATATAAGTTAAATATGTAAATAAATACATCTAAGCTTGATTGGACTTTTCTTTTTAAGGAGTAACATTTAAGATGTAGCAACTGTGAGGGAATGGTCTGGTACAAGATGCTTCTGCTATACTATATATAACGTAACACACACACACACACAAATCCAAACTAACACATATCTAGACTGCCCAATGCTTATATACTTAAATGACAATACTAAAAAATAGCAAAGGCCAGTTGAGTATTTTGAGAAGATTTCATGTTGCTTAAGTCATATACTTTTTAGTGAAGAGAAACTATTTCAGAACCTTAACAAGGTCACAAATATAGTATTTAAACATATTCATTACTATGTTGTGGGTATACCACATCATGGCTCACTAATTTAGCTAGCAAATAGCAGAACTGTTCTAAGTCACACTGAAAGGAAATCCTGTGGCTTGGTCCCCTCAGGTGAGGTCAACTGCAGTGAATGGAATGAGTTGAAGAACCTGCATGCTTATCAACAAAAGCACCAGGGAGGATAATCCTAAAACCCAGTCTCTTTTTCTGCAGTATCTACTTCTTTTCTGTCCTCCTTACTTTTCTAATCACGAGTTAGTGGGTTATTTCCAAAACATGAAAATATTTCTATTCCATTAATGGATTGAAAATGGCAGGGATGCTCCCCAGAACATTAAGATATGATAGATGTTTTTGTGGTAAAGTTACTGAGGCAATGGACTGCTCATACGTTTCTGTTCAGGAGCCCAGTAGGAACAACACTGCTTCTGTATTTAGGTCACACTTCTCTCCAATATTCCTTGTTTCCCAAACACTAGTTTCCATAGTGATTCCCTTCTCTTCATACAGGGTAAGTCTCTAGTTCCAACTTTAAAACTCTCCTAGTTGATCCGGATATACAATGATGGTTGGAAGCATGGCCTGAAGACCTTCTTGGGCTAGGAGTTTGCACTTACGCTATCTCCAATGGATCGCAGCTTGTAGAATGGCTGAATATAAAACCAGGACCCTTCATTCCCAGCCTCATCCAGCGTCACTCTCATGGCGTTCTTCTCTAGCAGAGCCGGAAGCCTCTTGTTTACAGTTAGGTATTTATTACTTTTCAAATGCAGGAGCTAAAAACCCACCAAGAGAATACGTTGAGTGCCAGCAAGTCTCTGAAATCTCCACCACTGCTATCATAGTCACATAAAGTATGTAATAAATATTCCTCCTACCACTGAGCTGCTTACAAAGTCAGAGACCACAAAGTGCCTAAGGCTGGGAATGATTAGGAAAGAAAGACAAGCACAGGGAGGGGGAATAGAAGTAGAAGTCATAGAAGAATTTTTTTTTTGCCCCTAATATAGCGTTAGACAAGGTGGATATTGCTCAGGACAAGTATACCAGCAGCCTGGAAAAGTACATGGCCATCTGTTACACCAAACCCAATGTAAGGCTAAGGAACTGCAGTCCAAGTAATCCTTGACACATAAGCAGAATGAAGGATAGGCACACTGAGCACAAGCAACTGTCTGATTTACAAGATGGCCCCTATTATAGGACTGTTGTTTATTGGGAAGAATATGGCTGCCATGGATTGCCACCTGAATTTCCAAGTAATTTATTCTCAATCCTTGGGTCACGCATGAAGGAACAGAAAGACTGGAGACTTAGTTGGGGAACAACTGGTCTGATAGCTGCTCTATGCCAGGGAGAGTTGGCCAAGGCTTCCCAACTCAACAGGTTATAAGAGAAGATGGAAGGGAATATGAAAGACTGCCCAATCCCTGGAGAAATGATAAAGGTAGCATGAGACTCTAGTGCCAAATGCCAATTTCACCATTTTTACTGTTAACAGATACGTTGCTTTGAACAGTCTCAGGCAATCCACATGTCTTCTAATGGAGTTTCTAGAGGTGGAGGGGTAGCTTGTCTGATTTGTGAGTCCCTGACATTCCCTGGCCATGAAAGACAAAGAGAGGTAATGAGCCCTTACTGTTCCACTGGAGATTGGGCCCTGACTCACTATGCATCTGTTTAACTACTGGACTCAGAAGTGGTTTGTAAAGCAACATTACCTACAGGTGGATCCCAAGATCCAGCCTTGGGGAAAAAATAGTGACTTATATTAATTAATATGTATTCAGAGCTTACTCTGTGAAAGGCACCTCTCAGCCGCTGTAGGTAGCAGATACCATTATCATTACCATATTCTTGGCCAGAAAACTGAGGCATGGCAAAATTTCCTGTCTTAAATCTCACAGTTAGTAAGCTGTAAAACCTGAATGGGAATTCTCTTAAGAGGTTATGTTCTTAAATTCTACACCCCTCCTTTATCTCAGTTCACGCCATTTTCTCTAATCTAAACAAACCAGTGTGTCTTGTACTCTGAGTTTCAGACCATTGGCTTGGCCCATTAATGAAGCTGATACTGATATCCACCTGGCCCCTTGTGTCCATTCTAAATTGGATAGAACCTGGAAGGGAGAGGGTGACTTCAAAAGAATTCTGGGAGTTATTTTTACTACTTCAAAAGGCCTAATATAATAAATAAGTCACTTAATCACAGAAAGTTGTTTTTACCAATTTGGCAATTCCAGTTTTCCCATGCTCCTGATTAGCATTGCTCTATAACCTAATGTGAATAAAAATGGGACGAAATTCCTTTATAACTAGTAAAGTTTATGTGGTAACAGACATCTTTCAAAAGAGAAACAATAAAGCAAGATAACTAAATGGGTCTGATGCTCATAAACGGGTAACTACTGCTCTTTGTAAAAGGAGCTCTGGTGGCATAGTGGGTAAGGCATTTGGCTGCTAACCAGAAAGGCATCAGTTCCAACCCATCAGCTGCTCTGGGGAAGAAAATGAGGCAATCTACTTCTGTAAAGATTTACAGCCTTGGAAACCTAATGGGGGTCACTATGAGTTGGAATTGACCCAGTGGCAGTGGGTTTGGGTTATACCCAGGTCAAAACGATCTGGTGAGTGGACAAATCGACAGAGGCCAAATTTGGTTCTGGGCTTCCTCATATACTGTTTTCTACAAGACTGGGAGCAGACTGATTTGAGCAAAGCCTAAGGAAGCTGCTTCCTGGATTTTGCTTTATCCCCATGCATATTTAAAGGCATATGAGATAAACAAGCAAACCTGTGAGAAAAGCCATGAGAATTAGCATTAAATATTCTATCTGAAGGTACAAAAACTACCCTTACATCTGGAGAACAGTTCTTGAACAAACAGGGAAAAGTTACAGGGAAGCCAATTTCCCCAACTAGGAAGAACTTTCGAACAAAGCAAGTTGAACAAAACTCCAAGAGCCAGGCTCTTTTACAGGCGATTTAAAAAAAAAATATTCCATATAAAACATCTGAACACAGGTTAAATGATTAGTGCTGACTGAAAGTCAACTAAAAAGCCTAAGACTCTATTCACATATATAACCAGGAGAACTGGTCCTTGTGCAATAAACCAGCTGTCTGCATGGAATCACACTGTGAAGGTATCCAAACCCTGTTTCATGTGTTTATTTTTCAGTTCCTGATTAGCAATTGCTCCATAATCTAATATGAATTCCTTGTAATGTTCCATTCCTTGTAACGTTTCAGCTCCAGAAGGGACGAGCCGTCATCACCCACCTGGATCACATTGCCATACTGGATGACGGTCCCCAGCAATTTCCTGTTTTCTGTCTCATTCTGCTTCTTTTCCAAGTCTGCAGCATGCTGTACGTGGAGAAGGAAGATTGGTCACACAGAGGAAATAACAGGTTCTATTTCTCTGCAGTGGTGCAAAACCAATGGCATCAGTTAGCAGATATTTACAAGAACCACAGAAATGAGTAAATACCCAAGTATACCACGAGGCTAAGTGAAACCAGCAAGGGCTTCAGAAATCCAATCCACTCTTGGCTTTACTTTGTTAAGCCAAAATTTCTCTTTAAGGAATTCATGGACATCTGCACAGGGGGAGGCTAAGCCAAAAGCCTACGGGAGGGAATTTGCATGTCACTTTATCATTTGTCAATGAGATTTTAATGGCTTTGGAGTAAAACAACCTGGATCCAAATCCTGGTTTTTGGTACTTTCTGGTATTAGGACTTGAGTGTGTTCTTTAACATCTGTGAGCCTGAGTTTCCTCTTCTGTTAAATGAGGATAAATCTACATTTCCCAGGAATCACTTAGCATAGAGAGCGGGTCATTGTAGTACTCATAGCTATTGTTGTTAGCTGTTAATATAATTTATTTATTTTTCATATTAATTCCTTAAGGAGGATATCATTATCCCATTTTTAAAGAAAACGAAATAGATTTAGAGAGATTGAAAACTTAGGTTGGCATCACATAGTTGGATGATGGGCACAAAAGGGGTTTGTTACCACTCTTTCTTCTGTTTCTGTATGCATTTTAAATTTTCATCAATAATATGTTTTTTAAAAATCACACATCTATTAAATGGAAGCAATAATCCTCAAACCCACATTTGGGAATTAAATTCTCACAGCAACAATAAATTCTTATAGGTATAAATGACATCAGGAGACATTACCAGTCCAAATTCATAATGATAGGGCTCATGATGAAGCTAAAAAGAGGGTTCTAGAGTGGTCTACTAAGGCCATCATCCTCAACAGTTACTCTTCATTCTTTTATCTATATAACTCTTAAAGTACTGTTAACATATTATGACAGTGCTAAAGTTTCATCCTAGTAATTAGTTATTCCAATTCTTGTCTCCAAACCTAAATGGGGTGAAATAGAAGTAAAACAACAAAGAAGAAATTCAGTATCTAATCTGGTGAATGATAAAACCTTGATGACTAATCATATCCTTCACAAGACTTCCAATGTTCTTTTCCTAGAGTTTCCCCATTTCAGTGCATGGTGTGACCCTGTCCTTAAGGCAAGATGCTGTGAGATGCCAATGGGTTAATGGTCTCTTTCCCAAGTAATGTGTGCATTTTCATATACAAGATTCTTGTGGGCTTGGTCTGGGCTCCATTACATACCACCTTTATTATCTTGGCCACGCCACTTAATCTCACTAAGCCTCACTCATTATTCTCTTCCACAAAATGGTGATAGGACAAACCTCACAGGGTTGTTGTAAAGATTAAAGTTAATATATGCAGGCACAGTCAATAAATTCAATAAAATTCTAGCCATTACTATTATACACAAGTTTCTAACTTTAAGAAAGCTCTAATTATGAGATTTTAAAAGGTAAACTAAGTTGACTGAGTCAAGTATCTCTCAGCTCCCTTCAAAAGTCAGCACCTGCTCCACCTCTACCTGAAGCATAGGAATTTTTAGTAAGGTGCATCTTTTAAGAAAAATAAACCTCATGAGACAATATTAAATCAGAAAGAAACAATATTTCAGAAGGAGCAGGATCTGCTTACTATTATTATGGCTTACTGCAAGTTTACCACATCTATGTCAGCTCTGGAAAACAAAGACCCATTCTGAGACATCTCTCTCTCTCTCTTTCTCTCTCTCTCTCTCTCTCTTAAATCAGTCACAGTCAGCTATTCTCAGTTTACAATAAAGGATAAAATCTACTGAAATGAAGATATATCCAGAAACAATACCAATATAGACAAGACGGCAATCCATGGCTTCAAAGGATCCTGACACAATTCTTAAAATTCTTTTTCCCCTCCATAAACCAAAAAACACAAAAACCAAACAAGTTGCCATTGAGACAATTTTGACTCATGGTAACTACCTGCATGTTGGAACAGAGCTGTGCTCCACAGGGTCTCCAATGCTGATTTTTCAGAAGTAGATCACTAGGCCTTCCTTCTGAAGCACCTCTGCATGGATACGAACTCCCAACTTTTTAATCAGCACTCAAGTACCTTAACTGTTTACCTCACCTAGATATTCTCCTCCATAAACAATAAAAACGCTGCCTGAATTTCCTACCACCTCTTCTTCACACCTGTGCTTCACTGCTCTAGGTCTCTACAACATCTACACGTTCTGTAGGTAGCTTTAAGAAACATAAAAATTTAACTGAATCCACTTGTTACTTGGAACGAAGGTTTATGCTTTGTAGAGAGCCATTTGTTCTTTCTGCTAAACAGTTCGGCTAATCTGGGCTGTAAATTCAAGAGGGAAAAATGTCAAAGGGAGAAAAATCAATGGATTTTTTGAACACGCAAATATCATTTTTCTCTGCTCTGACCATAAAAAAGCCTAAAATAGTGTTTCTTAGATTTAAATTATATCTTATTTTGTTAGCTGCTGTCAAGTCAGCCAGACTCATGGTGACCCCATATACAAGAGAACAAAAGCACTGCCTGGTCCTGCACCATCCCCACGACTGGTTGCGAATCAAAGCTTTCTAATCCATAGGGTTTTTATTGGCTGATTTTCAGAAGCAGATCTCTAAGCCTTTCTTCCTAGTCCATCTTACTCTGGAAGCTCCTCTGAAACTTGTTCAACATAACAGCAACACACAAGCCTCCAGTGAGAAATGGGGGGCAGCTGCACAGGAACATTCACTGGGCAGTAAGGATCCAAGGGTCCCTACTTCACAGGGAGAATCTCATGGACATTCCTCCTACTCCTAACAAATTCCAATGGCCTCAATTTACAAAACACTGATCTCAAATATTAAGTTCCTACCTAGTTTTAGACTAAGCATAAAAGCAGCAATCCAGTGGTTACTAGCATACCTAAAGTGAAATGTCAAATCAGTCATCAAGAAGCCACATATCCCAATTAAGACAAATTCAACACCAGCAGCTATCAAGAACAAAGGGAATTTGCTAAAAACATACAAGATAAATTTACAACAGAAAATAAAGCATAATTGGAAGATAAATACCTAAGAAGTTCTCTTAAAACATCTAGTATCACACATATCCATTCAACTGTTTAATCAAGTCTGAGCCTACAAATCCCTATTCAATAAACATTAAATGCATTAAGCTTATGGACAGCTGCTAGAATTCCCTTTTTCTATAAATTCCTTTGCTTCTAAGTTCTCTTGTTTAAACAAAAACTCTGCAATTCATTTCATCTTTTGCTAAATGTATAAATTCAAATGTGTTAATTTAGTTTACACACCACTCTAGGTAATCCACCCCACATACCCAAGTTCAGGTTTTAGACAAAAATATCCTTTATGACATTAGGTTCAGCAGGTAAGGTAATAGGTAGATAAAAATGTAGTAAGTTAAGAACTGGGGTCCCTGAGTAATGCAAACAGTTAGTGTGCTCAGATGTGAGCCAGAAAGTTGGAGGTTTGAGCCTACCCAAACCTGAAACTTGCTCTTAAATGGGAAGTAGCTAAAGCAAATGGGAGAAATGATGAAATGAAAGACCTGAGGAGAAGATTTCAAAGGGCAACTCGAGAAGACAAACTCAAGAATTATAATGAAATGTACAAAAACCTGGAGTTAAAAACCCAAAAGGAAAGACCACACTCAGCATTTCCCAAGCTGAAAGAACTGAAGAAAAAACTTCAAGCCTTGAATTGCAATACCAAAAGATTCTATAGGCAAAATACTGAACAATGCAGGAAGCATCAAAAGAAAATGGAGGGAATACAGAATCACTGTACCAAAAAGAGTTGGTTAATGTTCAACCATTTGAGGAAGTTGATCAAGAACCAGTGGTAGTGGAAGAAGTGGAAGCTGTACTGAAGGAATTGGCAAAATATCTATTAAGATGTTTCAACAAAAGGATGCAGCACTGGACATACTTATGCCAAGAAATTTGGAAGACAGCTACCTGCCAAATAGAAGAGATCTATATTTGTGCCCATTCCAAAGAAAGGTGATCCAAGAGAATGTGGAAAGTATAAAACATCGTTAATACCACACGAAAGTAAAACTGATGATGATTCATTAAAAAATGATTGCAGGAGTATATTGATAGGCAACTTTCAGAAATTCAAGCTGGATTCAGAAAAGGACATGGAATGAGGGGTATCACTGGTGATGTCAGATGGACCTTGGCCAAAAGCAAAGAACACCAGAAAGATGTTTACCATGTTTGATCGACTATGCAAAAGCATTTGACTGTGTGGGTCATAACAAATTATGGAGAACATTGAAAAGAATGGGAATTACAGAACATTTAATTGTGCTCATGAGAAACCTGTATATAGACCAAAAGCCTATCCGAACAGAACAAGGGGATACTGCTTGGTTTAAAATGAGAGAGGATGTGTATCAGGGTTGTATTCTTTCATGATACTTATTCAAATCTCTTTGTGGAGCAAATTATCCAAGAAGATGGACCATATGAGGAAGAATGCAACATCAGAGTTAGAGGAAGACTCATCAACAACCTGTGATATACAGATGACATAAACTTTCTTAGAGAATGTGAAGATGAGCTGAACACTTATTGACAAAAATTGAAGACTACAGCCTTCAATATGGATTATACCTTAACATAAGGAAAATGAAAAACCTCACAACTGGACCTATAAGCAACATCATGATAAATAGAGTTAAGCCTGAAGTTGTCAAAGATTTTATTTTACTTGAATCCACAATCAACACACATGGAAGCAGCAGTCAAGAAATCAAATGTCATACTGCACCAGGCAAATGTGCCCCAAAAGACCTCTTTAAAGATATGACTTCGGAGACTGAGGTGCACCCAACCCAAGCCATGGTGTTTTCAATAACCTCATATGCATGTGAAAGCTGAACAATGAATAAGGAAGACCAAAGAAGAGCTGATGCTTTTGAAGTGTGGGGTG